AAAACTACTGGATTACCTGAATACTGAGGACAGCAAGGGCAAAGCAACTGAGGAGTTTACAGCATGGATAGAACAAAAAACAGCAAAGGGGACTGAAAAGGAGAGAACACTTCCATTCAAAAATTGTTCAGCAATGAAGGAAATTAAATACCAGCAACGTTAACATAAGAGTGGGTTCCACTGCCTCTAAAATCAAAGGAAGCAATGAGAAGAATATTGGAGCTTTATGCATATATTCGAAGATGATTTAAAGAAGAAGCCAGCAGCTGCAGAGTACTCAGATAAGGACTAGAGAAGTTCAGCAAAACTGTGTAGGTAGCAGGGCAGCATTAAAGAATAATTACACTACCGCGGGGAAAGAGCAGAGAAGCAGTGCAACAATATAACAGTGCTAGCCAAGACTGAAGTGCGAGGTACATAACCACAGTCCGGCCCTTACAAATCATAAGCACAAACTGCAGACCTCAGGCAGACGCCTGGAAACAGAAGGGGGGAGATAGAATGCCTGATGTAGCGATAGCACTGAAATGTAAATAGCATTGCTGAACCACAGGGAGTTGGAATTATATTGGATTCATTCCCAGCTCCAAACTCCAGAGGAAAGGTGACTCAAAGGACTTAAAAGCCAACAACAAAAATACACACAGAAGAGCCTACGCATTGTATACTCTAGATACTAATTCCAAGAGAAAGAGCCACACAGAGTCTAGCAACTGATGTGCACCAGTTAGTGGTACCTTGTGTACAGCTCTTCCATAACACAAGTCTGGTTACTCTGGTTACATCAACTTACTCTTTATTCTGCAGAGCTGGAGTGTGATGCTCCCTAGAGTAATCCTTACTCTTGCTTTGTACATCCCATAGCTAATTATTATTTTAAAATTATTATTATCACAGAATATTCTGAGCTGGAAGGGACCCACAAAGATCATAGAGTCCAACTCTTAGCTCTGTGTGGAACATCCCTAAGAATCACACCATGTGCCTGTTATTATGTTTAAACCTATGCATTTATCCTTAGTGGATGAACATCTGAACCACTGAATGGCCTGTAACACTCAAATGCTAGGTCTGAGTAAGTATGTAGGACATACTTATTATAAGTTTGGAAGATTAACTTATCCGAAGAACCAAAATGCCTTCTCCTTACCTCTTCCCAGATACAACCTTCCACCCCCCCGCCATAGTGCAGAAAATTAAAAGCTGTAGAAGGAAAGAGTAAAATGAGATGATATTTCATGTTAAGGATATCTTATGCAAATTCCCTATAATTATGCTGTATACAATTCTAATAAACAGCAATGCTGGCTAGGATGATTCTATTTTATTATTTGCTGTTTTTCTTCTTACATGTAATGAATTCCCTTAGTGTTCAAAATCCATCTTTCCTGCCACACACTTACAAGGGTAAATCACTTGAGTGGGCTATTTATTGTTGCTAGGGGAACCACCTTGTTGGTATTCACACACGTTAACATGTCTTTTGACATATGTTTCTGAGGACAAGATGCAACACAGCTCTGCAGCATTGAGTGAAAAAAATGTATTGCCGCATTCTTGGAAATATCCTCCCACGGAAGAGCAGCGTCACTCAGTACCTTAGCTTCAGACTGCTTTGGATTTCTTACTTGTTTCTTTAGACAGATAAGAATTGTAAAATTATATGCAATAATCTGATTAATGGTTCCTAATTTTGCCCAGAATTAAACCAGAAAGAAATAAGTGTTGCTAAAATAGCACCCTTCTAATTTTTTTTAAAATACTCTTTTCCTTGTATAAGGAAAATTTTCTGTATGAAATCTTGCTATTATTTAACTAAAAATACCCAATCCAAGTAGGGGTAAAGTGGAAGTAGGAGCCATTTCTGAGTAACCAGGTTATTTGAAGGTTATTTGAATTACATCTGCTGGAAAGTATCAGTTGTACAAAGACTCACGAAAGGCAATAAGCCTCTTTAATGCTCAGAAAGTATTTGTTTCTTGAGAAAGCAGCTTCTGGCAGGACAAAAAAAGATGATGTAGAGATACTGAGGAGGGATTATTATGTCCAGAGTCACAGCTGACTATGAGAAACAACACCATTTTAATTTCCTGTTGATTTTGATTACTGCCAACATATCTGTGTGACAAGGGACATTTGAGGTTAAAGGAAGAAAAGTCTGAAAACATGCAGAAAGCATGAAAAGAACTGTATCTCGCTTAAGTCTTGTGTGCACATATGTATTTCTTTGATGATGGAAGATCCTACTACCTGGATTTGCTCTAACACCAGTTGATCTAACATTAGAGCATGAGGTGTTCCCTGTCTTAAAGGAACTTACAAAAGTTGAGACAAAACCAACAGGATAAAGCAGACAGCTAGAGAACCTAAATGAAACAATTATTAACATTTCCTTCAGCTGCCCTGAAAAGCTTAGTTTAACAAAACCTGCATGTCTCATTTACATGAGCAGTTCTCACCAAATACCTCGTTGCAGAGCTGAGATTAAAACAGCAGCTCCACACTAAACTCTCTTGAGAACAGAAAATTGTCCAAGAACACAGACAGTATCTCTCAAGGTCTGTGGAGATACTTTGAAAAAATGCAAAATTAGTTTTAAGTTTTCAAATTATGTGCAACAAATCTAAAATGACCAGCAATACAGAGCAAGAAAGCAGCCACAGTCTCTACAAACTAGTTTTCAAGCTGTACCCCCTGGCTATCTCTGCATGAAGTACTCTGAGAAAATGCAATCTTATTTGAAAAGTATTGCTGTACAGTTGCAGAGGATTCTCCAGCTGGTTTAGGCTTCTTTTGTTGTGCAATACTAGAGGAACAAAGTAATTGCATATACAACATGGAGACAACAAAGGCATGAAAGAAGAGAGCTCCAGCTTTTCAAAGAAACAGAAAGAAAATAACACTTCTCACAGCAAACAGACTTAGTGGCTTCAACAGCCAGGTGCAAAGGATATTCCCTGTCAACTAAAAAACAGGCAAAGGCTCATTATCTGCTTTAGGTATTTGCCAGTACTGAACAAGTAATGCCCGAGAACATGTTGTTCTGATTTGGCAAATGCTTCAGTTCCGTTCTACATTACAATGGGACCCATACACATTTGGTCACCAGATTTAAGGCCATAGTATAGAGACAGTAAATATTTTAACAATAGTTTTTCTAAGTGTTGGGCATGGAGATTACTTGTTTTTTCCAGTTCTAATCTCTGAAAGGTATTTTGCCTTTTTTTTTTGTTCAAACATTGAAAATAAATAAAAAAAATCAACCATGAGGAATAAGTTCAGCATAACTGATTTCAATCAAAATTCTTAAAAAATTCAGTAGTAACAAGCCATCCTATGATAGGAAATGTATTAAATAACAAGTAATGTAAGCAATTCCAGTAGCTCAATTAACACAGACATTATGGGCAGCATAAGAAATTGCCTGACGGAGTTCGATTTCACAGGAAAAGTTTTCTTCCAGAAAAGTCCTGCTCCATGACAGCAGGTAATGGAAGAAGGAAAAAGAAACCCATTAGCTGCAGTTCTTCAAACATTGTTTCCATACTCAGTGGAAATGGAAAGGTTAGGCATCCATGTGGTACATACAAGGGATAAAGACAAAAGGAATAATAAGTTGTTTATTGGGTAGTAAATCATTCAGTGATGTGAGGGGTTTCCACAGAACCAGCTCCCAATTTTCACAGATTCAGACCAGCCTGCTCTACATCAAGTGACAGAATTACAGGAAATGGCTTTGCACATAATGGTACTTTATGAAAAGCTCATTTTGAGACATTTTAACTGGAACTCAGAGCTAAATTTAAAATGTTTTTCAAAAGAGTGGGATTTTTTTCCCCATATTTTCCTGTACCATGCAAAAGCATACATCGTGAAAGACATGTTTTAGGGTAGTAAGGGTAGCCTTTTGAAACTATCATTTATTTAACAAGATTCACTTTTGCTTTCTCAGTAGTATTTCAAAGAATTGCAATATTTAAAGCATATGGCATTAAATCTCCTGAATTGTTAGTGGTAGGAAAGTACAAATGATACAGTGAATAATACAAAAAATTAAAACTTATCAATTAAAAGGATTTTTAATTTGTTAAAATACTCTGGCCCATCTCTACAGCTAAGAATTCATGAAGTGTTTGACTTCACAGAGAATATGCTTTTCCTGCTTAAGGACATCAATTTGCAGCAACTGATAACCTCACACAACCGAGCAAGATGACAAGTGCAGTGAAAGGACATTGCAGGAAGAGAAGAGGCTGGGGAAGTCACAAGGCTGAACTTGCAGGAGCTGGAACTCTTCTCAGAGTAAGAGAATTTGCAGGGAAACAACTGTGCATCTGAGAAAACACGTGAGTAGGGACTTCAGGCACTGTGCCCTCCCAAAAGGACATTCATGCAGCGTGGCCTTCAGCCCAGCAGTGTGGATCTCACCGACTGCAGTGAGCAATCTCACTCAAACAAAAACAATCAACACAAACTGTCACACAGAGACAGCCTCCTCTCATTAAGTGCACTTCCTCATATCCTGATAATTCACAGCAGTGAACCTCCACCTACTGAGTCAGCTCATTCCTGTAGGTTTCTTACTTTGCAAACAGCATAATTTCATTCTTATCCATGCTAATGCTCAGGCAGGCTTCATTTATCACTACCCCTACCTCTAAGAAAAGAAAGCAAAAAGCAGGACTGCAGAATCTGGGTTAGATGAAAATTAGATCTAAATCCTATGAAGATCAGCACAAAACTCAGCCTCCTCTGGCAACTATACACACAACAGAAACTGATCTCATGGGACTCTGAAAGAACATTTGCTGGATACTGCAGGAAAATATCCTGTTTTAAAAGAAAAAATGTAATTTCCTTGTGAAATACTGTGAGTTATGCAAGATTCCTACTGCAGGGATGATGAGAATATTCACTGACAATTTCAGGCCACCACTGATGGTGACAGATGCTGTTATCCATAGGTCAAGATCAAAAAGACAACTGTTTCACCAAATTTCTCAAAGGTCAAAAGAAAAGGAAAAATTTAATACATAAATATGTACATTCATCAAAGAAATAGTTATTCCAGAAATTCTGACAGAAAAGATCAAGCACAGTTATCCCAGAAGTACAGTTTCTCAACTCAACATTTTAACTTCAGCATTTTGCAGCAGCAATGCTGTAATAGCTGGCATAAAATTAAGCACAACTTTAAGTGCTATACCTATGAGTAAAATAATCCAAATTACTAATACAAAATACATGACTGTGCGTAAGTAACAAATTAAAACACATACCAGGTTTACTCTCTATGCAAAGTATTTTGCATGCATAAGCTTTCGATATTTAAATAATTGCCTGGCTATTGGGTGGAATTCAATGTTGTTTTGGATGACTGAGGTAGAGAGAAAAAAAATTCATGAACACACAGATTGACAGTAGACTTTTATTAACATATCTTACAATGCCGATTACTGTATTCCTAGTTTTATAATCTTCTGATGTGTTATCAGGGTTGATTTAGATTCTACAGTAATGTACTGTACTTAAATGATCATTCATACAGGATATCACACCAGAATATTTGAGTAAAACACGCACACACCACTCTAGTTTGGACCTGTTATTTTTCAAGATTAGCTTAACAAAGTAGGATTAAAAAAGTTATGGGGGAAATAAAAATTCTTGTTTAGCAGCATGCAAGGATATTCAAGTACAATTTTTCAACCAAGTAATTTTTTGTTGTTGTTGTTGTTTTTAAATCGACTGGTGACTAATTCACCAGTACTATAATAAACACTATGAAATACCCAGATGTTAAAGTTAAGGCTAATAGTTTTACTTCACATCCATATGCACAACCAGAGAACATTCCATTTTAAATAAAACACAGTAATCAAATTTCGGACACATTATCTCTTGTATATATAGCATTGGAGCTTCAAACTACAGATGTACTCAAGTTCAGGAGCCCTGTAATAATGTTATGCTGGCAATGTAAAGAATCTTTTTGCTCTTTAACCACATTTACAAAATGGCCTGATATTCATAATGAGCAATGCAAAAATATCACAGGCAGAACTTATAATACAGTATCAAAAAAGTACTATTTTGGAAAAGACAGCCATTTAGTCGGTGAAACAGAGTAATTCTAATCTTACAGGAAGTACTGTAATACTTTTGAAATATATATATATTTATATGTATGTATAAAAACCAGCATCCTTTATTGTAGGGTTTTCGAATTGCAGGTATTCAGAAAAACTCATTGTATTTACTTACTTTTCCTTCAGTCCGTTCTTGATTGCTATACAGTAATCTTATTTCCCCTATACACTTTTCACTAGATAATGACTTCCACTGGGGAACTCTTTTCTTTGTGGTTTTATCATAAGATGTTTTTATTTTACACATATAAATTTTATTTTACACTCAAGCTATGAAAGTCAAAACTACCAGGAACTGCTTGGTAGTACTGTATGAAATAGCCAATGAATGTCCAACACTTGTGAAAAACATTAGTAGCAATATATTACATACCAGTATTTTAACTACAGCCTTTCCTACCTACTTACACTGTGGGGTTTAGCCCAGTCATGCCTGTTCTCATGAATTTCTTAGTCCTCTAAGCATAAACTCTTTTGGCATTCATCCAGTGAGGCTGCACATGCATTGGTTGTTCATCCAGGCTACTACCTCTGTTGATTTTTCTCTTTATTTATTTTTCCTTTTTTAGGAAACCAAGCAGAAAGAACAGTGATTACTTTCAACAAATACAATATAGAGGAACCTCCTGAAATGACAGCAAAGGTACAAAATTATGATTCACTTTCAGAATAGCCTGCACGTTCCCAATCCAATCATTCTGAAACATACATCTGGTTTGGAATGACAGGAGGCTTATGGTCGTTATGCTTATAACTGGGATCTGCTATGTTGGGCACCATACAAATTCTCTATATACAGCAATTTCTGTATGTTATGTTTCTGTATGTTATCACTAAAAGTTTATTCAATTTATATGAAAAAAAATCTCCTTTCTGAAAAAAAAAAAGAGAAGACAGAATGTGTGTTCTGGATTAGATTAAGAGCAATAAGAAACCTAATGTACAGCTATTTCATTTATTCATGGAGAAAAAAAATTATGAATTTCCTGAGAATGCATACATTTTCAGTAATGCCTGAAATATTTCAATAGACCTCTTAGAAGTGAAATTCTCTTTAAAATTCAGCTTTCATACCAATTGTTACCATGCAGTCTCACAATCGTTTTACAGACCTGTCTAATTACAAATGCGTATCAAGCAAAAACCTGAAGCCAACACAAAAAAGGCGAAGAAATTTTATCCAACATATTTAGTAAATGTAGTAGACATATACACAGTTTCAGCAAAAATTGCTAAAAACTCAACTCCATGCAGAGAAAAATAAAAACCTGACAGCTACCCCTGGAGCCTCTAAATAACTCTAAGTAAAATTTGTGCTTCTTAACAATAACGGGCTTTAAAAAAAACACAAGCAAAATGGACTACTGAGTGCAATCAGATTGCTCACACCATTTTGAGGATTTAATTTCAATTATTATATCATTCTTTAGTAGCAACAACAGCTCGTTCTGCAAAGATTTCACATGTTGACAAAGTTCCATTTCCCTTTTATGCCCATACCCCACTTCACCCCGCGCCAAAGAGCCAAACTCCCATTCGGTTAAAGCTATTGTCAGTCACGATGCATTCATTCATGGCAACAGCAGTGATATGGTGTGTAGATGATGATGATGATGATTTACAAGCCATTATAATGTGGCCCCCATCTTTTATTGATATGATCAAAAGTATGAGACACCCACTGCTGCTCAAGCACTTTGTATCTTTCCTTGCATATGTAGAGGGGTTTACCACGCCTGGAGAGGGGGAAAAAAATCAAAAAAGAAGAAAACAAATGGTTAATATACCAAATAAATAGAAATATGCTTCATTATATAATCAACAAATGGTATTCATAAAACTTTTTTCACAGGGTAAGCGTGCATTTTTATTGGTGAGGGGTTTTCAGTTTTGCTTTTAATAGGATAACTGCTGGGATTTCTCTTCCTCACACTGGATAGCAGAATCCAGAAACCATCACTTGTTTTCTTGGCCATGAGTATTTTGAAAGTTATGCTCCTTCCCAACACTGGAGTCCAACTGCATTGTTTGATTAAAGGCCAAACAACACCCTTGGAAGATAAGTGTTTCCCAGTGCAAGACTCAATTGACTGTCATTGGGAATGGCAACATAGGAATCTGTCTATTGGGTGCCAGGTGTGTGTAACTCAAAGATCAAGATTACACCACCTTTAGGCCAAAAAAACTCCCAAAAGCCCAAAGGAAAAAAAGTCAGTCCAACTTTCAGTAAATGGGGATTTTCCACTCTTCCACACAAGGAAGGTAGAGATCTATTATTATCTGTTACTGCATGTCACATGATGAAGTTGATCTACACAGTGGCGGCAACAGTGAAACACACTTGTAATGAAAACATTACCTAAGATCTCTGTCTTCTTCACCATGTGCATCTAGATAAACAGAACCCCAAAGGCAAAAACGATGGCCTCTTATGATGATGATAACAGACGCGTTAATCAAAAGAAATATTCCTGTCCCAGCTCCACAGTTTTGAGAATGCTGTAACATTACGGGTGTAGAAAGGCAAGAGTGAAAAGATTCTGTTAGTGTCTGTCAACTTTATAACAGAAAGAATTTAAAAAATAGAACTTAGTTTTGCTTCGAATAACATGCACACACTATTTACTAAGAACTAATTTGGTAACTGATGGCCTGCCCCAAAATCTCCCTCCAAACCAGAATTCAGTGTCTTGTGCTGCCGTAACAACACCTGTATGCAAAAGACGTTCCCTACTCAAAAAGGGAGGATATTTGTTATCATGTAAAAATGAATTACAAAAATAAGCAAAAATATTCTCTACAATATTTCCAATTTGTTGTTGTACAGAAAATTATATAGGATTACCAAACATTTTCCACAGATGGCAAGAATAGGAGAAAGTATTCAAAAAAACTTAATATTACCTCTTTTACAACAGTCTGTATTGTTAAACATTTGCTTTCTCTATCCATGCTGACAGATCTAGTCTATGTCTCTAAAAATCTAGTACCAAGTTTTAATAATTCTTGCTTTTTTCAATATGTCTTTCATCTCTATGAAAGATCAATACTCACCAATTCATTTTAGCAACTAAAAAATCCCCTCTTCCTATACAGTTTTATTACAATTAGGAGCTATAATACAATCAACTATAACAAAAATTAATTAATGATATAGATTTTTTTATAGCTTTCTGTTTTCATTAAACTTGACACCTTAAATATAACTGTAAATTCTATTTTAAATTTTGCCCACTCCTTCTTCTCCTACAATATTAGCATTATGAGAGAGAAACATGAGTTCAAACAATTTCAAAATGGTTCAAGATTCCTTTGAAATTTCTTTGATTTGATTTTATGCCCCATTTGTGAATATCTCTAACAAATTCCTCTCAGTTCTGTAAAGGCCATGAAGTTTGTCTTCCTTTAACTATTCTATAGAATAAATAGAAAAGCTGTCAAAGCAAACCTTTATTGTAGTCAGAAAAACAACACTAGATGTTGTCCAACTCAGGCTCCTCAAAGAGCTTATATATATGCTGACTAGAAAACTTTGCTGCTGAAAAAGTTGAAAACCTTAAAACAACACTTATTTATTTATAGTCTGTAGATCACTAGTAGGTGGTCAGGTGGATCAGAAAGTACTCAATCCAATCACACATTGATATTCTATGTATGCAGAAAGCAAGGAAACAAAACAGAGGAAAATTAAGATAATATATGAACAATCAGAATGTAAACAAATTTCAACTGGCTATGAATCAAAACCATGTGTCAACATAACACACAATGGCTTTGTAAGACTTTTATAAAAAGGTTAAATAGGTTGCTATGCAAGTAAATTGTTCTTCAGAATCCAGTCTCTGTCTATCCATCAGAAATAAGCACTAAACTGTATCACTGGGGGTTAGACTAGTTGACCTTCAAAGATCCCTTCCAACCCAAACGATTCTATGATTATATAAACACATTTTGAAAAGAAAACCATCCAAATTGAGCAATGGAATTAAAAACTATTAAAGAGTGGGACAATCAATTATAAAATTTGAATTAACTCTCTCTTACCAGTACACATTCACAGTAACTCTGTTGTTTGCAACACAGTCCTTTCAAGCATACAAAAGTACCACAAACTAGACAAACAGCAGGATCTTTAGGAACCTTGGTACAAACAGAACAAGTCTTTCTGTGATAATACTGAAAAATAGTATTATAATTCTCAGGCAACTGAAGGAGGCGTGGCAAGTCCCATTTAGGCTCCTGAATAAGCAAAGCCTACAAATAAAATAAGAATATATCAGTTCTGTGCATTTGTTTAAGCATTTGTATTTCTAAGAAAAGAAAATACCAAAGAAAAGAAGCATGCAGTTTAAAAATTCTCTTTTTTTTTGCATTTCACAAATTTAGAAGTCAAATATCACCTTGCAATAGTCGCCTGCTCCTGGCTGATCACCCTGCCCAACTGCAGTCACATTTCATCCTTTGTAACAGGTGCAAAACGGGCACAAGCCTTTTCTCAAGGATGTTTTCTATAAATGTGACACCTTTTAAATGCAAAAATTTTCACAGCTAAAACAAGAGGACTAAGAGTGATCGACAGGGAAGACTCTCACTCCCTACACTGTTAGCTTAGTAATATCAACGTGCTGCTTTCAAAACCCTGACCTGGACTATAAAAACTGTTTCCCAGATAAAATTTAGACTTAAACTTGCAAAAACAGAACTGAAGTTAGCTCTGTAAATGATATCTGAAGACATCTGCCTGTTTTTCAAAACTATGTTGCACACAGATTTTGAGACCATTAAGAACATAACCAAAACTCACAAGTTTTGATAAGACAGGCACTACCTAAATACTGCTTTGAAAGCCTAACTCTTCTCATTTGCTCTTATAAACACTGTCCATTTTATGTTGGTTTTTTTTTTTGTTTGTTGTGATTTTTTTAAACAGTAATGTGTTTTCCTTCAACATAGTCATTTTTACTGAGTTTGTAATTGACGGGCACAGCAGTCAGATGGGATCTTTTCTGCAAGGTGCAAAATTTTTTTGAAGAGTGTATGACCTTGAAACCTAACTTGCAAAAAAGAAAATAAATACTGTATTTGTACCTGGTTCCTTTTCAATCATGGAAAGAATGGTATCAGTTTCACTGCAATCTATCTCAAACGTTTATCAGATTGGCAGCAACTGTATTTTGAGATTAATCTGAGTATTCAAATTTTCACAGGTGCAGATCATGTTGCAGAGTAAAGAATGCATCTGGCTTGCCTCTGACACCATAAACTTATGAGAGGGGGACTTGAATTGTTGAGATGAAACTTTGTTATAAAAAAAAATGCACTCATGTCAAAACATTTCTATTTCAAAACTGATTATTCCAGTTGCACTAATTCAAATCTTGGTATTATTTCTTTACCCTTCAGAGAAAATCTTTTATCAGTCAACTATTAAAAAGCTTTTATCCTTTTCATCTTTTTCAGTATTGCAACTGAAATGCAATATCGATAATGAAAAAATATTGATAATGTCTAACAGGCAAGAAAAACTTCTGATATGTATTCTCTTAAAAGACAAAGTTCTTGAGTGGCTACAGGTGCAGAAGACATTTAGTATCATCTAGGGATAGCATTCCAATTTTCTGTGTCCAGCAATCATATCAAAACCAGATAGGTTTTCTTCTTCCTGTTTTTAACCAATTCAACCCATATCCACTAATAATTCTCATTACAATTTCTCTCTCACAAGTTATATTCTCAGATCCTTATCCAAAACAACAGTACATGTGCATAATGAATCAAGCAATAAATAGCTGCTTCCACATTGAGGCTATTTTGGAAGAAGTAATTTTGCTACATACCTTTACTTGATCTGGATGTCTATCAGCAAATGAAGCCAATTCTGAGCACCACTGTGATATCATGTCAAATGCTGGCACTGGCCAATCGAGACAAGAGGCACTGGTGAACTGGTGAGCTGACTGAAAAGATGGTAACAGACCCAGGCAGCTTGCAAGAACTGTGAATTCTTCCTCTTCCTTTTTAGTATGAAATCAGAGAAGTTTGAATTAATACCTACAGTCCGAATTTTTAAACAGTTTATTAAAAACATATCTATTTCAAGAAAAAAGTAAAGATATTCTAGTACTAAGATGCTAATACTCATGTTCAGAGACATAGGAAAGGTTCAGGTTTTCCTGGATCACCACAAACTGAACTCTTGAAACACAAGAAAAATGGTCAGTAAAAAACCTCAAACCAAACCAAACCTCCCTCCCCCCCAAAAAAAAACCCTAAACCAAAACCCCCACAAAACCACAAATCCAAACCCCACAAATAAAACAAGAAAGCCCCAGACTCCACAATAATTTTTTTCCTGTTCAGCACCCCAAACTGGCTTGTAGCTATTTTGCAGAGGAGATGATGTTGAGGCAAGGAAATGAGGGAGCTGACCCGCAGAAAACCCTACTTAAATTAGTCATGGAACTTAAACATAATTGTCTGCTGATGCAATGCCTCTGAGAATGAAGTCTAAGTATTAACAAGCATTAAGCAAAATCAGGACTGAATTCCATTCTCTGTGAAAATTATGCCATCTCTGCAAATGCTGGACAGGTTTTAAAAAGTATGTTGGTATTTTAGGAGACAAGCACCTATGACCTAATTAAATAAGCATGAATTTGCTGGAGTTTAAGAATATAGTACCATTTTTTTGAAAACCACATTGAAAACAAATTTATAGAAGACAAAAAATGCTGCATAACAGTGATATAAAATATGATTTAAAAAATATACCATGAAAAAGACACCTTTGTGTCTCATTTTTTGACTTCTAGCTTTTAGATTGAAACATTTGGGTGGGGCCCTCTCATTCTGTACCTGACAACTAGGCAAGTCCACTCCAAAAAGATGGTGTTGAAGAAGGCTTGTGATCCTGAGGAAAGGCAGGCAGAACTGCTGCAGATCACGCTCTACAGAATCCGGATTTACCTATAGGGCAGGAAGCAATTACTAAATTCTGTCCCAGGTAAGTTATCTCCTAGGTAAGAAACTTCAATATGAACCAAATATTTTTAAGCATACTGTACTGCATCAAACATACATTCCAAAGGCCAGCATTTTATTAATAATCTGAAAGACCTCTGTAGGTTTTCTTTCCCCCTCAACAAATGGGGTTTCTACTTAAATATTCACTTTTCCATCTTTCTGAAAGGCATATGATTAAAATCCATACATATTATTAAACCCCATAAATATAAGAAGTATTTGTCAATAACTTTCTCAACGCAGTAGTGGCCACATCTGATATTATTAAAAGAAAGATTTGCACAGGCAAACTGTCCCAAAGGGATATGCTTTGATCTAGAAAATAAAGACTTGTACTGTAAGTCTTTAGCAAGATCAGAGAAAAATCATTATAACGAGGCCAAAATACTTCCAGAGGACATGCTGGTTAAGTTCTCCAGAAAATTGTCAATACCACTGCTAATTCTTCAGTGTCTCCTTCTTCATATATCTTCCCCTTAGACAGCTCACTAATCACATGACCCAGCAATACTTCCCAAGATTTTTCTCCACTGGATGTATTCTGCAAATAAGAAAAGAAATCCAAAAAGTACTGGTCATGAAAAGGAGAAAATGTTGCTGTACAAGTAAGAGCAATGATGTATATTTCCTTTGATCAACACATGAATTTTGACATTCAAAGATACATACAGAATAAAAAAAATAAAAATATATAATTCTACAGAAAGGGGCTGCATTTAGCTCAAGTGAAATATGAACTGCTACTTGAATTACATATACTCTAAACTGTTACATGAAAGCACTTTTATAATGTTTGCATTTCTCATGTTTTTTCTGTGAGTATATAAATGCTTACTTTAAAACTAGAAAGAATCACTTCATGGATACATCATGTTTTGACAGAATTTGAATTCTAATACAAGTAATTTTTTTTTAAAAAGTAATTTTCTAAAACATACCAACCAGAATGAATGAAAAAACACTTGCTATATATTTTAAGTTGAATCGAGCCTATCAGAAAATGCAAAGTTGTGTCTGGAGTAAACAATATTTACTACAGATGGAAAATACATAGAAGTAGAAAGATGTGCCCTCATTTTACTTGTAAATATTAGCAAAAGGCAAGGAAACAATAGTGACAAATCTTCTCTGTCTCTTCATCACATGAGCACTCTCGACCACATAGTGAGAGAAATCTATATAGCTAGCCACAAATAGCAAAAACGAGTTGGAAGAGTCAAGAAGCTTTTTTCTCCACCAACAAGGTTGCCTGCTTTTCCAGGAAAGGAGTCCATCAGAGCAACCACCACGGTTTATCCAGGAAGGCTTCAATTTCACAGGAAGGAAAGCTGCACTTACTCAAAATCATTGCAACAAAGTCAAGAATGAAACGACAGAGATACAGACTCAAATCTGAAAGTCAGTTTTGGAACTATATTCATTGAGAAGCTTTTACATCTCATCACATATTGAAACTTGCAAAAATCGCACACCCAGAAACAAAACAGTGGAATTCTGTGAAGCAGAAACAAATTATTACATGGAAAGCAGAAGCACCTGTTACATTCCTACCAGAAATACATAAGCAAAATTTCATAAATGTTTTAATAAACTAACCAACCTTTTTCAGAGCTCCTGCCTCTTTCCATGCCAGCCTATCTTCAGCACCACATTTAACAGAAATTGCTGCCAAGGCTTGAGTATACAATAAAGTGAACAGCACTTTTATAATGCAGGTGAAGTGTTCTGTAAAACAAAGAAAGTAATTTTTAAACACCTGATATTTTTAGCAAATATAATGATTACAGAGCTTTTAGTTATGGAAGTGTTGCTTCTCAAATCAAGAGCAAACAAAAAGAACAACCCCTCAAAACATACAGAACAACATATATTTACTGGCTTTCAGAAATGACTTGGCAGCCATAGTGAACAGAACAAGCACAAGGTGAGTAATTTTCCACTGCTCTGTACGGTTATCTTAATCCTGATCAGCAGTGACTTCCTCCAAGTGACCTGGTGATACTCCAAAATTCTGTTTTGTCCAAAGGTTACAAGTTAAGCTACTGATTACTGTAGATGTAAGCAAATGCATATCCTACCATCTCTTCTGGTACCCATATGGGTAAGTGACATTCATACAGATACTGGAAGAGTTAAGTTCCCAAAGAAATCACCACAAGGACATTTAGTGTACTTCAGTTTCTACCCCTTCACTTCCAGATATGGATCCAGCCACACCAGACTTGTTGTAAAACATGCCTGAGTATGTACTGGACCTCACGTGCACACAGAAGGAGGACAAAAGGCAGGCTGTCACTTTAGAACTTACCTTACTTTCAAAGATCCTTACAATTTTTTGTAACATTTAAAGGATTATTATCTCCTACAGCTAGGCTGCAGGAGAAAGGCTTTGAAATCTTTTTGGGGAAGCTAGCAACAGAAACAAAATAAGACTTCCTAAAATTGGAACAGGAAAAAAAGTGATCATTCTCTGAAATGAAGATATGGTAGCAATCCTTTTTTATCTTTTTACTTTAGGTTGTATTTCCCATCCCAAATTATCTATTTTGTTTTCAAATCTAGGCAGATCAAAGAAATTTCTATCATAACTTACACCATTCCTTAAGCAAAAACATAACTGTAACATATATCTAAAACAATGTAGACAAAAATGAGGGTTTTAAGAAGTCCTCTCAGGCTTTGAAGTCAAGCAAAACAATTTTATTTGCATAAGCACCTCACAAAAACTGGGTCGAATTCATTCTTTTTTCCCCAAAGGATTTAAACAAGCTTCATATGTGGAAATGAGAACGAGGTAAGGAAAATGAAACACCTTGCTTCTCCTTTCTTCTATCTAATATCAAAACACACACAGCTAGGACTTGAGTACATAATTAAATTTGTGAAATAACAATTGCTTGTTTATGTAACAAATCAATGCAGGCATGGATTTTGAAACTTTTTACTGTCACTGAATATAAACTATAAGCACAGTTTAAGCACCTAAAAGATCATTTGTTATTATATAATTAAAAGTGGTCTTTTTTCTGTATTATCTTCCTATGGAGCTTGTGTTAAACATGACACAAATTCTGCTATACTTCATGCCCCCCACTCTAGAGCAGGTAGCATTATACTGATATATCCTCTCCACATTTCTCCAGAAGGAGAATTCACCAGATCCCACTAGATCTCTTGGCTGTATTTTTTTCCTCTGCTGAAGCCTCCATTTTCTTAACAGTCCTACTCCTGAGGAATAATAGCAGGCAAGCTCTCAGGAAATCTTCTGGGACTGAAAAATCCAAGATTAAACCACACACACACTCAGAATTGTAAAAATTGCCTCTTTGATCTGAGATACAGGCTGTAATCAAGAGCTAGAACTGAGTTCAAGTATTGAGTTCTGTCCCCACCAACAGTAGGTACAAGCGATAGAAATCAACTTTGCACAGTGAAAGCAAGAATGAATACCACTGCACTTAGAGCAGCAAAGCCAGACCGCTGGTCAACAGGCACCAACCTGCCACAGCCCACTTCATCTCAGAGTTCTGCTCAGGTGCTTACAGTGCTCAACACTGCGTGTCTTTGCACCCCATAAAACTATTACATTTTTAAAATTCTGGTTTCTGTTAAATATAATTGCTCCTTGTCCCTATCCCCCCCTTAATACTAATTATTCAATTAACCAGAAATATATCTAGCCCATATTATGTTTTTAAAACTAAATGAATGTTCTTGTATTTAATTACACCTATGTGACTCAGAAATGACTACGAATTAAATTTTTGGAGAATCCAGAATTGAACAAAAAATACGCGCTCCCACATCCGGGTCACCCTTAAGAAGTCTTGACTTCTGTACAAACAAACCTCATTTTTTCTTTTTTTTGGGAGGGAAAAATATCTCAGGAGCAGCTCAGAGGTAGCATGCTGTGTAATGAGCATCAAGGCTTTTTTATAGTCACAAAAGCATGCCATGGGAGACATAGTAAAACCATCATTCAGAACAATTATCATTTCATTACTATGTTATCTCTTACTTGTAAAATGCCAAATATTTGACAGCTCTAGGTACCTGTACCACTAGAGCTGTTACATTCTTGTCTACTGCAAAGAGCAACTTTGTTTGACTTCACACAATGTGCATGTGGGGGGCTGTGTGCTGCTTTCCTGCTGACCCCCTGCTGCAGGCTGTGCTTTTGCTACATCAGCTTTTCTAATTAATAATTCTAGAGCTTGCAAGTAGGTCTGTATGCTGTGCAGGGTTCTGCACTAAAATGCAGTTAGGACTTCTGTCCTTAATCTGATAGTCTGACAGTTTAAAGTATTATTACTATGGTTAGGACAATATAATCAGAACAGGTTAATCCAGAACTTTTGTACTTATTTTTAAAAAACATTGAGAAATAGTTTTATGTTCCTGTTTTTAAAACTTTTTGGAACCAAATTATTTCAAAGCATCCCATTATAAATATATTAAGCAACAGCCTTAAAAATGAAATTTATATAGGAAACACTTCTAGAACTCTAATTTTAACATTAGTGCAAGAAATGTGCAGATAAGTAAGTGTATTATTAACAATATGTGTCTTTTAATTTCAGTATCATATTAGACAATATAACTTTGGCAGGTAATGACTATAGAAGGAATCCACAAAGAGAACCAGAAGCAAAATTAAGGACATAGGACCTTTTTTAGTGAATTTGGAAGGAGATCTTTGTATAAATAACCTTTGAAAAATACTCCTCTTGATCTAAAGCTTAAACTGTTATTTGAAAATTGACTTCAGAACAAAGGAAGACAGCACTGAACTTCAGATAATCCTTGAAAGGTATATTAAAGTTCCAGGATACAGATAAATTTTTCAGCTTCGACACTGAAACTGGATACTATTCAAGTTGATTACATCCATTCTATATTTAGTCAAGAACCTTATCCAATCATTAAAGAGAAGTGCTAGTGTTCAACTGAGCGCTGCTTGCCGCATTTTTGTTGCATGTTAGTGAAACTTCATAGAAAAAGAATCTGCCAGAACATTCAGGTTAGATTCTTCAGCAACTGAACCATATAAGAATTACAGAAAAGAGGGGTTGAATTTAGGTTTTACAACTAGAGAAGAAAACCTTTCCCACAGTTCAAAGAAGCTGGGCTAAACTCTCAAAATCAGATTTCAAGTTGGAACACATTCACGACACCCAGATCCTGGATCTTGTCACAGCAGCCCTGTAGCCTGTCAGAGCAATGCCAGGCTGTGTAACAGCCTGATGGCAAATGCCTGCACTGCTTCGTGGCCCTCCTGGCATGTGTGGCACCAAGCACAGCACCAGGCCATTGCTGGCCCACTGACCACCAATTCTGTGCACCTACTGGCCTCAGGCTCACTCCTGTTCACCCAGACCCCAGTTTTTAAGTACTCTATAATGATATTTTTTTATATTCAATGCAATGCAGAAACTGAAATCACAAGCTACAAACACTCTACACTTCTAGAAATCTGGACTTGGGGGTCCCAAGACAGGTGCAGGGAAAATAAAACTTTTTACAATTGATGGTAACAAAGTAGAACGTCCAATTTTAATTAAACTACTTCTTTAACATCCAGAAATTGCATTGCAGAAAGGACTGGTGGGGGGGTGTTGAATTCAATTTACAAGGACAGATTTAAGTTCTGATAACCACCAAGCCACTCTCTCTATTTCTGTACATACACCACCATTTGCTATTTCTGTAAGAAAGGAGCTAAACCCAAAATCTTTGTTTTGTATGGAGTCCCAATCCACCATACCATGAACACTGTCCATCCTCTGCACAACTGCCACAGAACTGAAGCAGAAACTTCTTATGTGGATTATTATTTATCTAGTCTTGTACAATTTCAAAATGCTGAACATTTAAAGCCTGTAAAACCTCTGTCCATGTTCTAATGTGAAACTCAAACGAAAAAAAGTTTCACAAATGGTTTTAGTATCTTGAACACAACGTTTCTTTTGCCAGCTACACTACACAGGAGGTAAACACTACCATCCTCATTCCCTCCTCTGTAAATTGGTTAATGCTTGTAAATGCTCTGATCTCCACCATAACGTTTTTTCCGTAGTAGTCTTCATTCTTTCTGATGGGTTCAGATCAATTTTCTCCTCTGAATGAAGAGGCTGAACAGTAATGACATTTTTATTGCTTTAATCGATGCCAGATTGAAAAAGATACCACCTATCCAACAGTTAATAGGGTAGTTAATGCAATTCCCAGGGCTACATCTGAAGGGCAAGAGACGAGGTTTAAGCCCTCCTTACAGAGCACTCAGTGTTCTTAACAAAACACAGTGTCAACAAAACGGATTTTGAGTACAAACATGAAAGAGATGTAGTATTTGATGACCGGTTCTAGTTTCCTGGAAGGACACAGGGCAATACAGTTAAAGTCTATTGCTAAAGAATATATCTGGAAATATCTGCCAATACACAGAGGCATCCACCTCCTGTCTGTAAATCATTGTACAGCCAAGTCCACAGTTCCTGCACCCCACCACAATGCCAAAGCAGCACGGATAGTTCAGGAAGCAGTAGGAGCAGACAGATTTTGTTCACCCCTATCAGTGACCTTGTGCTTGTCATGTGACACTGCACAAGCCATTTTACCTTAGTTACGCCTCAGCCCTCTACCAAAAATTAATGATATCGAATTTGACTCTGTGACCTACACACCCACTGTAAAAGTTCTAAACAAATTTGTTATATTTGGACAAAACAAAAATTAAGAAGATAAATGGGAATTTATTTCCAATTTAATGCTTCATAGATTTGAACTGGTTACACTCATCTACTTTCTGCCACTTGCCATTTCCCTTTCAACTGCAACATACAGTAAACCTAAGAGCAAAGGCAAAACGTGCTGTTGATATGTGGCATTTCTCAGAATTCTCCATAGGATGCCTTAATATTAATTGGATGTTGTCTCTTCTAGGATAAGGTATACTTTCATAAATGGTGGTAATCCATGCTTGAATATTGACTACAAAGAGACCACTGGTTTGTACTTTGGCTTCAACACTCCCTTCCCTGAATTTCAGATGTTAGCCTCCTTAAACTTTTATTTACTGATTTTATTAAGTCCTTCCAATAAAGTTAAGTTAAACTGTAGTTTAAAAAATAAAAAAGTGTATTTTTGACAACAGCCTACCTATGCAAAAGTTTTTTATTCTTTTCATATTTTCTTATTCTAATAATCTACTGGACGTACTTAATCCTTAAACATGTACTTAACAGTTGGACTCAATGATCTTAAAGGTCTTTTCCTACCTAAATAATTCTATGATTCTCTGTATATTGAATTAAAAAAACAAACCCGCAATGTTAACAGATACACATGGAGTCACTTGAGCTGAATTTGAACATTCAATAGTGAGGACTCCTCTTAAGGGGAAACAGAATTTCTACTATACATCATAACTTAGCAGAACAGTTTCTACTCAAAAATTAACAAAACTCAGTAGATATCAAAATTGCCACACAGATCCCAAAGAGGATATTCTGTTTGTTGTCAGTGAAGTAGTAAAGTGATACTTGTTTTGTTCGTTCTCATTTTAAAATAAATGTATCGTTATAAATAATCAAGCCAGAGACCAGAGGTCTGAACTAACCCCTATTCTGGAACATACACTGTCTATTAGCAAGATGAACCAGGTTCAGTTGTTCCTTTTACAAAGAAAAAGAAATTTAGGTTTTTAGACAGTTTTGATTTTAGTAATGAAAAATTTAGTTCTTTAATATTCACGATTATACTATATACTGCCTCTATTGAAGTTGCTGCATTACAGCAGTTATTATCTTCATATATGACCTCTTCTCATGCAAGACTGCTGCAATTTAAACTCTGAAATTCAAATTAAATTACAATCTTTCACCCTTAGGCACTCAGTTCAACCTCAAGTATTGAGCTGCCCCCTTAAGCAAAGAGATGAAGGTCAAATAAAGGACACTTTTCCTTCAGTAGAAATACTTAATAGTTTTTGCTCAGCTCTTGTATCTTTAATGAATAGCTGACTGATAAGGTAAAAAGACAGGGGACACAGATAAAGCTGTCAACCCAGAACAAAAATTTCTGTTCAATGCCATCTTTTGTAGATAAGGCAGAAACATTATTTCAGAATAAACAGTAGACCAGCTATGATTTACCATCCTGAGAACCATCACGAATGCAGCCTCATTTACATAACAATTTAAGTATATATATTTTTCTAACATACCTTTGTGCAATGGTTGAGGCATGGTTAAAATCTGGATAAGCAAAAGGGACGAGACATCTCTGTAAAGCACAGGAACTTCTGGCAGCTCTTCACTTACCAGCCTGGAAATAAAACCAAAAGAAAATCACTTCTGATACTGTAAACCCATTTTCATATTTTATTTTAAATAGTATTACATTTGAGATCAAGCTTATAGAAGCCAAGAACCTGACAATTCGCTAACTGATCTCAATATTAAAACCATTTAAAGTTACTCATGTAATAACTCATGAGGAAGTTATCACTTGGGCACCTGATTCTTATTACAGTGTTTTAAAAATTTTCAAAACTGCCTGAACTCATTATGTCTATGTAGAGTGTCAAGGAACACTCAAACAATTTAACTGGTTTACAAAAGTATGGCATTTTACAAACAAATATATATATCCATGCTGTAACAATAATGAATCCTCAAATTGCTTTTAATGTTACAAGGACTGTGCCTCCTGGAAAAGAGAGACCTTAGAAAATATACTGATTTCCTTCACGTAAAGAAATGAAGGCTCAAGAAGCCATGACAGGTGGGATTATGCAATTTTACACACAGTCTTTATTAAAAACCCCATATGGCTAGAAGGACAGCAAATAAGCACAGAGATACTGCAAACTTTTGAACCATCCAGATTCACTGAATGACATAACATCACCTTGTGGTCCCATACTTAAAGGCAGAAAATGCTTGCAGATAGGAGAGATAGTAGTTTTCTAGCTCTGTGTAGCACTATCCAACAAAATTCCAAACAACATTATTCTTCAGGTTCAACAACTGAGACAAATAGCAAAAAAATCAAATGGTTAAAAATCATTCTCCCCTCTTTAACTAACATGGAGTGTAATGGAGATCTCGAGCAGGAGCTGCTGGTACAACATGGTACACATTCTCCCTTGTCATCTTTCCCCTTCTGCGAAACATGCGACAGAAGGAGCTGTTTGGGTTCTTGTTCCCATTTGCAAACAGTGCTGGTTGCTGGTTATCTGTGCTACAGGAGCTGTACTGTGCAGTCCTAGTCCAGCTCACTCAAATCTCCCATGCAAAACAGAGTCCTCTGCAGCTTCTCACGGACAGACAGCAGTGGTGCAAAGGAAAGCATCACAGGCTGTGAGTTCCTTCTGCCCCATGACTGAAATGCTGTCCTTCCAGAAGGGCATTTTCTATTGCTCCTTAGGCTTTTTCATCTTTCTTTCCTCCTGTTTTGTCATTCTTCTCACTGGTCAGAAACTGCAGGAAAAACAATTTTTCCCCTCCTGGTAGGAGCTTCCCCTATTTGGGGCAGCCATAGGCCTCTACACCATGTGGCACTTCACTGAGCCCTCCACAAAAACCACCTGAGAACGTCAGGAAATCAAAATATATCCACCTGCTACAGTTTCAAGGTTAGCTTCATGCTTTGGTACATGAATCTAGCAATTTTAACTGTCCTGCAGGTAAACCTGATGAAGGTAAAACTGATGAAATGCTCGATAGTTGTATTGAAAATATAAATACATCCTTATTAAGATCTACCCCCAAAAGCACAGCCTCACTCTCTTCCATTTGGTTGTTCTGGAAGACACCGTGAACCACAGTTTCCCAGGGAGGCTTTCTTAAATCCTGCAGCAAGTGCCCAATTTCTGTACAAACAGAATCTGGTGGAGGAAAGAAACATACAGCAAGACAGTCAAGCTCTCCTCTGTCTCAGTTCTGCCCTTTCAGAGCACAGCTGGTTAACTACTGTTGTGTCCAATTATTGCCTTTCTTCCAAGAGCACCAAATCTTTTCTCTGATCCAACTCTCGTCCGGCTGGCACAGACTACTCCTTTAGCTGAGTTGATGCCTCTGTGAAAGCACCAACTCTCCCTTGGTGCCATCCATCACACACACGGCACAAACTGAGCTCCTGCAGACCACATACTGGAAAAGGTTGCCCACATGTGGTGGGATGTGGGTGCATACACAGGATCCTTAGCACCCTCTAACAGCTTTGGGGACTCAACCAGTTAATCATCTCAGAGGCACATAAACATGATGCTACTTTTGGAAGGAGACCCTCTCTACACAGTTACCTATGTCATGAAGACTCAGACTTCTCTCTACGTAAGGCACCACCTTCTGTGATATGAATTTTAACACACAGAAGCAGTCATACAAGAGGAGGATTAGAACAACACTTTTGGTCGTATCTTTATGATTCTCTGTATATTGAATTAAAAAACCAAACCTGCAATGTTAACAGATAGACACAGAGTCACTTGAGCTGAATTTGAACATTCAATAGTGAGGACTGAACTCCTCTTAAGGCTGACTGGTCTTCTAAAATGAAGTCACAGAAAACATGGTCTCACTGGTCCTTTTGAATTAATGAACCCAAAAAGCTATAGAATAAACACCATCTATAACCCTTTTGCTATAATCAATCATTTAATACAATTATTGTTTCAAAACTCTGTAATATACATAAATATACATATTTATATATGTGAGCCTCCTAAACAAAACCCCAAATATTCTAAAAATCAGTATATTGAATTCTAAAGAAGACAAAGGGGGCAAAATTTTGTATCATACTACCAAGTCTCATTTTCAAAATTATACATGCCAAGAAGATGCTTATCTCACTATGTCTCTCCGGTCCTACTTTTGCTTACAGCTAGCTCTATTTTATGATCTATGACACTGAAAAACTACCTTCATTATGTAATGACTTTAAAACCATGGATACCCCTTAAATTACTTCTCACCTTTAATTCCTAATTAATATATAAATTTTGGGGGAAATTTAATTTGGAATAACATTAAAAAAACCCTACTCCCTCTGGTAAGATCTAGTTTAACACCTCTTTCTGACAGAGGTATCAACATCAATATCATTTAACAGTTGTGTAACAATTAGGTCAAATACCAGTTCTGTCAAAATTAGGAAATATATCTACAGAATACCATGATTGACTGGCAACATCACAAATAAATGGACTCATTTTCACACGCAGGACCAAGGGAATTATTTTTCTAATTTATTCGGTTCATATGAATTGAGAAGCAAAGCTACATTAAATGTCAGGGGTTTAGATAAGCAGCTTTCGCTTACATCCAGTGCTGCAGCACATGAAGCACTTAAAAACTGCTCTGTCATTCCTTAAGAGCCTAAGCAAGTTCTTCATTATGACACTGAAACTAAATTTATAAAATGTGTTTAGAAATGTGTTTTGTGGAAATTGTCCATTCTGCTAATCCCCAGTGCATATGTAAAAGCTTGATAAATCTGACTTCACAAAAAATTGTGGCACAGAAGCACTGAATAAAAAGAAAGTAAGTACAATTGCAGACAGGACCAAAGTAATACAAAATGATTCAAATGTATAACAGCTGTATGCTGTATCCATTTAAAAAAGGGAGGTGGAAGTGAAAATAAACTACACAGTGCAATATAAACATGTACTAAAATAAAAAATGCATTGCTCTGCTTTCTCTATGGAACTGACCTCTCCTCCAGCCCAAGGTAATTGGGCTGTACCTCTCTCTATGCCAGTGCCAGAGCTACCTATCAGCTGCCAGCTGAGCAACTCTGCCTCTGTGTTCTCCATCGTCCTCCAGAGAGATGTTATGCAGGAATCACTTCTTTGGGAATGGATACAGAGGAATGGGAAACTGTTCTACTCTGAAGCAAGCAGCATTTTGCTAATGGCCATTCCTTACATATATGCTCCTCATTCCCTCTTCTCTCAACCAGAGACACTTAAAAGTTTCTGGTTGATGCTAACTCCAACTAATTATAAAGTTAGAAATTCAATAAAGTTTTGAGCCTCACACCACTTCAAACTGTCAGATACAGAAAATCTGAGACACAGGGATACAGATACACCTAAACAAAGGCTTCATCGACCAAAGCAAATCTATATTTTCTTCAGAATTCACAGGATTTCTGCAGCCTGCAGAAAGGTCAAACTAATACACAGCTTCTGATGCTCACTGTAAGTAGAATTCTACTATTTATTCTGGCTTCACTCTAGGATCTAATCACAATTTCAGATTTGCTCTTCCTTGTATCTCAGCAGATTTTACAGCAGGTCAGTTTTTCTCATTGCACATTCACTGCCAGTACTAACATTAGGCATCTCCCATTCTCTTTTACCACTGTGCCCCTGGCAGTCCCTTGTCACCTATTCCCAAATTAATTCAAATTAACCTTTTTAAAACATGGATTAATTGCTTGACTTTGCTCATGATGCAGCCTGCCCAAGCTACATCAGCACAGATGAAGCAGATGGTGAGCTCCAGTATAGGGGAAGGAAGAAGCAGCCAAGTACTCCCAAAACTGGCACTACTGTCAAAACCTACGTACTATAACACACATCCTGAGAGACTGCTGTTTCAGGCAGGATTTGTGTTTGTATTGAATAGATCACACAGGTCCTGTTGCAGCATGTGTATGTATATACCACCTCTTGCAACCTTAACTAAACCCCATTGACTCCTCTTCATAAAAACTGAGTTTTTTCCCCATTTCCCAACAGTTTCTGTGACGGAGATGTGACTTAAGAGGTTCCTACGCAGAGTTGCTCATTCCCATCCCTGAGCTGCAGTTTGTTGCCCCAGTATGACACTACAAACAATCACTGAAGCGATCTAGCTTAGAGTGAAACATCAGCAAAACGCTGCAGTAAAAATAACCCAGCATTTCAGTTTATCCTACAGTTCCACCCTCCAAGTGCTTCCATTGCAAAGATCCTTAATGTTTTACTGAATCATTCTATGCTGACATATTTTGTCTGTCAAAACAGACATGAAAACTTCAGCCTTCATAGAGATTCAAATTTTTAAAAAATGTGTATTCTTTTATTTCATGTTTGTTGTTCCTAAAACTCTGGCTAGTTGGACTAGTCCATTAAATTCACATCTGAGTTTAGTAATTATTGCCTCCAGCTGCTCCTTCCCTGCCCCCTGCCAGAAGCTATTATTCTCCCCTTGCACCACAATAATTGTTTATTTGATCACCACTGAAACCAGACCTATCCCTAGAAGAACAATTTACTTAAATATGGCCTGTGGGACCAAGTGTACATCAAATTTTGCAACATGAACTCCATAGGGGAAATAATCCACTACACCATTCACAGTTCAGACTTAGCTTTATCTTTTTCCCCTCTCTTCTTTCAAACAGTACACATTATTTAGGTCCTTTTTGATAAGGTATCTCCTTGCTCAAGATTTCCTTATTTCTATTTTACCTTGCTGTGGCTGCATGAGCTCCTCCTTATCTTTCCTTTCAGTTGCCATTTTCAGCTACAGGAAGATCTAGGTACAGCTGTAAAAGACACTGGACAAAACCAGTGGCCTTGGGAAGTACAGTGGAGCAATTCTGTGAGTCTTTACAAGTTACTTTGTTCAGCTCTACCAGACATATGAAATCTAAGGCATTATTTATGAAGAATGATAGCTGGGTTGTGGAAAATTAAGATAAAAATTGTGAGTTCTGCACCTGGGTGGTTTTAACTGTAAATATTTATGTATATTTAAATAAAAGAGCTACAATTAAATAAGGGTGAAAAGATAATGGCACTTGCATTCCAGAGATTTTTGCAGGTTGGGGGTTTTGTTGTTTGTTTGTTTAGTTTTGAAAATTATCTTTTTAAATAAATGAAGATGGAACTAGCTTCTCTGGAAAACTGCTTTCAACTGAAATACTAATTTTAGGTCGAAAATTAAACAGAAAAATATAGCATGTTGCTTTAAAGTTATTTTGCTTCTGTGACTTTCCTGAGGTTAAACTGTTTGGAATCATAGCATAATGTAGTCATAACATAGATCTCTTCCTCTCAGACTTTTTTTTTTTAACAAGTTTTTGCCTGAAGTATCATGCCAGTCAGGCTGATGATTTAGAGGGTTAGCTTCAAAAAAGCAGAGTGACATCCACATCTAAAATCTGCAGTGACTATTTCTCCATCGTCCTCTTAAGCTTCTTCAGTTTACTGCAGCATGTCACCTTCTAAGTGCTCTGAGCACTCTTCCCTGTACCTGAAAAAATTTGCTATTCTGTATTTCTCAAAAGGCTGTGTGACTCTAAAAAGTGTGCAATTAGATCATACACACCAATCCTATGAATGCCATCTTCAAGTGAAACTACCGCTTCAAACTTCTACAATATAATTACAGATATTCATTTTATGCTCTAATTTATGCATTAAAAACATGTCCTCAAATTGTCTCCTTTGAAGCATTCTGGGGCCTGCAGACTAAGGTAGGAAAAATATTCCAAGGAGTGAGCAAAAACATTCCAGCTCGCCTGCATCTGTGCATCTCAAAAATAAACTATTACATGGCAAAATGGATGATATCTCAGTTGTAGCTTCCTACAGGACTTTGTACCAAACCAGTATCATCAAGTCTACCAAGAAATATTGAAAACCAATGCAGAAAACATGAGAACTGCTCAAATGCATTCCCAACATGCAACACTCCCTGCCAAGAAGCCATTCAGTCTACAGTACCATCAAATTATTCATAATATTGCCCAATGAAATTTAACTTGCAGCAATCTAGCCTTGATATGACCAATGCACAGCGAATTCCATCAAGTCTGTAAGCCCCCTCTGTTAAGAGCTGCTTCCAAAGCCAGCAAGCTCTTAAAATGCCAAAATGAGAAGTGCACGATCAGTCCCACAGCTATTCTGTCAACAGCCTATCAACATGATCTTAATTTTGCCTCATATAACTCAGTCAACCATCCACAAATTTATTAACTTTGCCCCATTGCTCAATCTAGGTCAGGTCTCAATCAGAATCACATGAAAACAGATCCCCAAAGCAGTGTGAATACATGCTGAATAGCATAGGTTTCAGGTTATGAAATCCTTAAGGCTTTGTTCTGCTAATGGTTCATAAACTAACCTGTTAATATAGTTTAATTACTGCAATAATCTGATGTTCATTGCAAAAAGAAACCCAGGCCCAAGAGGACAAACAGTAAAATCTCAAACCAGAAGCAAGAACAGTTGTTTTAATAATTTCCCCCAATTTGCAATTAGGATTGTGGCATCATTCGTCTAGATCAGTTTTTGAAATCACATGACACTTTCCACCTCAGGCTTCCAGAAACACACTGACAAACATGCAGCTGGACAGGCACTAAAAAGTCAGTCTTTCAACATTACTGCAAGCTACGAAGTGTAGAGCTTAGTATGAAGAAGATGCTTAAGGTGCCAAGAGCAAAAACTAAAACAATCTACTGTTTTCCTCTTATGAGGAAAAACGATAATCTGGTTTTGGGCAAGAAATCTTTCTTTTCATCGTCAAGGTAGAATCTGAAAAGTGATGGGTCTTAAGTCAAATAGGAAGATGAGTCCTTGCAGAACACATATACATTGTTCCATTTATTATACTGTTAATCCTTGTACACCTGTGTATGCAAGGTGATGCCTTAAAGCAAACTCAGGTAAGTAACTTGTTTAAAATAATAAGCAAGATGAAAATTTTTAGCTTAAAATAGAATTATTTCTCACATATAATATGCCTACTTACATTATTTCTGTAACAGCTATTAATCATTGCTCACCTTTCAATAAACTATTTCTCAGCTTAATCTCAATGTACATTTTGTGTAGCATCCATATCAAGAACAGCAGTGCACTTATCCACTTACCCAATAATATTCAATTTGCATGTGCTTAAGCTTGCAAGAGGTGTATTTAAAATTCAAAACTGGTATGTGTCAGATTCTTATGTAAAAGAAATTGGAAAGTTTATTTTTACAAATTCATACATAAAATTTTTAGATGTTAAGTTCAGCAGCCTACCTCACAGAGAATTTAAATTAATACAGAAAGTTACCCAAAGTGCCTCTGTAAGGATGTTTCTTTCACCAGGTAAAACTGATATTGGGTAAATTAAAATACTTGCTCTGAATTTTTATCCTGCATCGGCTGGGTTAGTTTTCTCCAGGGATTGTATGCAGAGTCTATACTGTAGAGGCGCATGTGCATGGCCAATACGTGGAACAGCTGATCTGAAAGGTGAAGACAAATTGCTGATTATTATATACAATGATACAAAGTATTTCACATTAAATTGCCATCATGTATTTCAAGATTCTGAAAAGTCTGTCATCTCATTTCAAGTAAGCTGGTACTCTCATAAGCATATTTTTATTATGTATTTATTTGGTTTTAAAATAAGATTTTGAAGAGAAGTAAGATTTCAATAGAAGGCAGTGACCATAGGCATGCATAAGGAAAAATGCCCTTTTTTTTCTCTCCTGAAATTCTGAGACAGAGAAAGGCCGTTTAGAAAGCTTTGGCCAGATCTCAGTTGTTTTGGTGCCCCATGTAACTTATTTCAGGCCTTCTAAAAAAAATCCTGTTTCATATGCTCTTAAATTGCTAAGGTTACATGCTCACTTCACTTCCCTCTCCAGTTTGTGCCAGAAGCCATGATTTCCTAAACACTCCTTCTAAATGGAGCCTGATATACTTTTATCGCACAGCTTTTATTTCCCTCTCCCACAATTAAGTTCTGTGCACAACATATTTGAAATTAACCCAAAGCTGCTAGAAGTTACAGCCTACAGCAGGATCACTTCAGCTCTTCATTCTTAAAAGGTTATTATTATTCCTTGTGCCTTCTTTTGATTATTTTGTAGGAAACTTTTGGATGAGGGGAAAAAAAACCAAACCCAACAAACGTCTGACCACACATCAAGGATGCTAAAGTAGTGAGTCTTTATAACATCAGAGATTTGTCCATACAACCTGCAGGCAAAGTTTACTGATATTCACTAATTCAAAACCTTCTGTACAGCCACTGTATCAAATACATAATTTACAAAACACTTGCAGAATTTTTCAAACAAAGGATGCATAATTATTCATGGAGGTTTACTGCAGTATCTTCTATTAAAATGCACAGTTTTCATTTCTCTATGGATCATATGATCAAGACAAATAAAGATAACATCTAATCTTTTCTTCCCTTAAGCAATCCAAGAAGGCAAGCACCATCTATGTTGACAGCATTTTCAGAGATGTATATACAATAAGAAACACAGAATGGTTTGAGTTGGAAGAGACCTTTAAAGGTCATCTGGTCCAAGCACCCTGCAATGAGCAGAGACATCTTCAACTAGATCAGGACTATTAGGGACTCAGACTTCACTTCTTTTTCTGTGTTTATAATAGAGTTACAGTTTGGAGAAAACACATCTTTTTTTATCTTTATCAATATTTTAAAATATCATCATTTCTCACAATTTTGCTCACTATTTTTCCTCCTGTGACACTCTGTCTTGCTATTTGCTGCCATGCCTGTTTCTCCTGTTCACTTTTCTGGGACCCTGCTTCCTTCCTCCCTTTTATTTTAACTTTTTCCCCTAGCATCCTGACAACATTTTTCCCCTCCACCCCTCTTATTCTTTCAATTGATCCCTTTGCCACTTTCTCTCTTAATCTCTCTCCTTTCTCTCTACAACGCACTTGCTCAACCTACAGACTCACTGGTCCTCTTTTTAAAGTAGAAATAGCAGCTATTAATTTATTTTCCATAAATAGACAATTACTCAGAGGTATGCAATGGCCAAAAGAGTCGCATGATGAAGTCAGCTGACTGCCAGAGCCTCAGGGTTGTAATTAGCTCCTGGGGTTTGTAAAATAATTGGAGATGTAGATGGCATTGGAATTGATAGCTGTCACCTGCTTTCTGAATAAAAACAGTCAATGAGGACAAAATAAGTCATCTATTCTCCTGGCAAGAGATTCTTAGCAAAACACTGCTTTGCTGATGGAGATTAAAACCCTGAAAATACAGTTATATTTTATCAAAATAATAAAAAAAAAAATCAAGCAGGTTTTATTTGGAAGGAAACTCATGAAAGTGTCTGTTCCTTCCCTCTTGCCTGTTCACTAAAAGGAATGGGGTTTTTATTCTCAACTGCTTCTTGCCTCAAACAGAAATGAGCAACTGTGCAAAATAAAATAAAAATTAATAATTCTTCATTAATGGTATTAATTAATCCTCTGCTCCTTTAACAGCTTTCTCTTGAGCTTTTACTAGTATGAAATTAGGCAGGCAAGCATCAAATCCTAGCACTGGAGAATTTATTTGTTAGTCTCCAAGTGTGTAACATTTACGGCATCAAGACGCACTCTAACGCTGACTGACTGTGCCCAGCAAAATGCCGTTCAGCTGCTGGGTAAGACGGTACTTTCTGTCTGCGATTCCACAGCTCTGGCTCCTCCACAAGGCCGCACGATGGGCACGGGAAGGTCCCCGGGCGGGCATCGGTCCCAGTGCCCCTCATGGGGTGGGCGCTGCCCCTGCGGCACCGCAGCAGCGTGGGGAGCACACATCGAGGTGTCTCTGTTCTACACCACGGTGACTCCAGTCGCCTTACCTCCCACCTACTGTGACTATGAGTTACTGGAGAAACAGCAGGGAACCACCAGAGCACTGGAAATCGAGAACTGGCAGCTTGGTTTACGCCAAGCTTACGTGCTCACCACGTCCTTACGCCTGAGGGACTAGCAGAAACCTGCCTTGGGCCAAAGGAAGACCAGAGGGTCTTTCCTGTGTATTTGTTAGAATGCATAACTCCAAAACATAAACACAAAATACAGTCTGCCCTCTCATTTTCTTATACACTACTTGGAACCTTTAGAATACATGTAATTATTGTTTTTTGAAAAGTATCAGCAAAACATTACCATGACAATGGCCCACAATCAACAACCTTGCCCAGACTTGTGAAGAATGGCATGCAAGGCCATAACCCCACCAGGCACCCCAAGCTGCTCTGCCACTCACAGTCCATCTTCCATTCTCTCCAGGAGAGCCCACCTTTGTAAGGGGGAAAGGCAGGGCCTGGCTGCAGCTCAGTCACCAAAAGAACATTCGTAAGTGAATTTTGTAGGAAGAATAATTTCAGAAAGTGCAGCAGCAACAACATTAAGGAATGAAAATTATGAAGTCACAACAAAACAAGAACTATGGGTATTATAACAAATCTTGAGAAGTAAATGGGGAAAAAAATTGAATATGATCCTCCTCATAAATTCATAATACTTTAGACAGGTTGCATCCAGTTAATTTGAATAAAAAAAAAAAAAAATCACACCATTTGGATGCACAGTATAACTTATTGCAAGTTAACCAACCGTGACAGAGGAGCAATAAACTCAACTGGAATCGGTACTTTCAAAAGAGCAGCTCAAAGGATAAGATGCTGTCTTTGCACTGGGTGGGAAGCTGTAAGAGAAAGCATTCTAATGCTGCTCCTCTCATAAAAAACAGAGATAAATGGGTATTTTGTCTACATAAACACATTGCCTGCACTAGCACCTGCAGATGCATTCTTTACTATTTTTAATATTAAAGCACATTCATTTTACAGATGTTGACAAACCTCTCAAAAAAAATATTCTGCTTTGCTAAAGTGCACAAAGTAGGAGTCTACAAAGGCAATTCCACAACCCTTTTCAGGTCTAGTGTGGTATGCACAGCATAAAAGATGACCAAACTCAGAGAGATGAACACATAGCGATTTGACAGGTGAATGGCAGACCTTTCAAAAATGTTGTGCTGAACTAACAAAAATGAGTGATTCAGGAAGTTGCATGCAGTTGTAAGTTTTGGTCTCACTAGTAATCTTGGTCTTGGTCTTTGCCAAAGCGATCCCAAATTTCTGCTTAAGCTTTGCTGCCTTTTTTTCTGGTCTCTTGACTGTAAACTAAATTCTCAAATTACCGGAGCTGAAATAGATAATGTTTTTTGTTATTAATGCCAATTCCACAATGTACAGCAATGTGTTGTAATAATGATAACAAATAACTAAGGAATTAGCTAACTTTCTGTTTATTCCCCAATCTCTGTTTTAGGAGGACATAAAGAACACATACTGCTGTCATGGAAATCTCTATTTTGCTATTTTGATCCAGACTTCTCTTTTTACATTGTATAAATTTACAATGCAAAAAGATCACAAAACACTGAGACAGTAGTTCTCTGCAAGTAGAATCGAGAACATCCTTGTCTCAACTGTGAAGATCTTACCAGACTAGAGATGCTACACCCTTCTTCTCCCCCTGAAGTTTCCTGGTACTATAAAGAAGAATGTCGATGATAACAAAAGCCACTTGATACAGCCAGATGGGACTTGATTGTTAATAAGGAGATTGAGGAATTTTTTCCTCCCTGTACGGATTTATATAGTCCACTTAGCAACAGCAGCTGCAAAGACCTGCTGACAGCATTGCTGATGATCATTTATCTCTGATCCAGTAATTTGAATCAGTGAATAAAAAAAAATGTGAAGGTCAGGAAAAGCCCATTAAGGCATTAAGACACGATAGTCTTTACAAAATCTCAAGTCTTAATTGCTGATGAAGCAGCTAATTATCCTTGACATGAAACTTGCCAGTGTATGAAATGAACTTTGGCAATAGAGTTCTAACAGTACTTATCTATGCTTCTCCCACAGTAGATATTAATGGCATACCAAAGTCTTTAGAAAATACTTAAAGATTACCTGTTGGTGAGAAAAACTGCTTTTTCAAAGTTAGCATGAATGGGCACCAAGGATCTGCAGATTGACAGCTCCTGACACCCTTCACCCCCAACAAACATAAACAACTCTCTCCCTACTCACCTCCCCCCCAAAAAAGCAAAAGAAAACCTAAAAGAAACCTCAAAACCTGCAGCACCAAAAGCCCAACCAACCATGGGAATCCATTGTAGAGAGGCATTCCTGAAAACTTCTTTTATTCTTTTTATTTTCAGTAGTTGCAGAGAGCTGGGTAGGAATCTTTGCAACCATATTCACATTAACAGATTACAGGAAAGAAACAGCTGGAATATAACGAATCATAAAAGAATTCGTTTTTTCTTCCTACAGAAATAACCAATACTAAGCGGTTGCAAGGGTCACTGACCATATTGATAAAATGGAGACAGCCATCACCCTCAACACAGTTGGAAAATTTGATACAGAGGGAGCATGAACAACTTAGAAAATCCTTAATGTCACAGTGAGTTTCTGTGCTCACCAAAACACATACTGAACAGTGATTAAACTGATATTAACATCATAATGCAGATACAGCCTTCAAATGAACAAGAGAAAAAAACCTGACCAACTAAACCAACCAACCAACACAACTCCCATGGAACAATACTGTACCTCCATGGTTAGAACCACCGTTCTAGAAGTTACAAAGGCGCTGGCCATTTTATTTTGGGAGAGTTTAAATAAGTCTTAAATAATTTTTTTTCTGTCTTGTTGTAAATTAATGTCCTTTCCAATTAATGCAGTTGATGCTGCAATGCCAGACTGCTATCTGTGGGAAGTATAAGGATAAGGAGCTCATTTACACAGAAAGTGAAGCCAGAGGACAAGAGGATAGAATATTTAATCCTTCCCAAAACCTCTAATCCGATCCTTATCACAAAGGGGAAAAGGGAAAAAAGAAGAAAGAAAACAGCCAGAAAGAAAGAAAAGAACTATTTAAAAGTAAAAAGGAAGAAATTACTAGATTATAAACTCATTTATAGGTAACTTTTAAATTTTGTGGAACTGTTCATCATATTAACAACTGGAAAATTACCAGAGTAATGATGGCAGAGGCAAACACACACAAATTAAAGAGAGGTCACAAAATCACAGAATGTTAAGGAGTTGGAATAGACCTTAAAGATCATTTAGTCCCAAACCCTGCCACCATGGGTAGGGACACCTCCCACTAGACCAGGTTGCTCATGGCTTTATACAAAAATTGTACAGAGAAGTCATAATTATTCAGCCTTAATGCTGTGTTCTGAACCCATTCTATAAATACAGCACAATACAAAGAGCACAACAGATCTCTTATGCTTTATAAAACAGGGAAATAAGACCTGTACAATTTTTACATATCATAATTACCTCCTAAATTCAAGAGAATTTTCAAGGCCATAGACTCTAACACTGTATTGTAGTCCTTAAAACAGGACTCAATGTTTAAGTAAAAAGTAATAGGACTCTATTTGCATTTTTTTGGTTGCACACACACACAAATTTTAAGCCGTGAAATGGCAATTTTACAGCCAAATTTTCTTCACCATTCTTCTCACACAGACTTGGTCACTGACACTAACAGCTACATTAATCATTCTTAAATTTACTTCCCAAGAGCAGCTGCCCTCCTGGTGCAATCTAATAAAACAGCTCTTGACCTATTTGTTCCCACCATCTTCCTTGACGTTTGCTGCTGTAACAGCTCACCTGGGACAACATATTCTGTTTTCCACAATATCTAATCACCAAACTTTACAGTTGTTACAAGACTAATACAGAGTGGTATGCTTAATCACAAGAGAAACACTCCAGTATCTCACACATATGAAAAACAAAAGTGGGCTATACTTTGGGTTACTTCTGCCGAACCTGAGTGACGCTTAAAAACAAAAGCAGTTTCAATACTGTGCAAGCAAGACTTCAACAAAACAGAATTAAAGTCCTAGATGGGGTATGGATTTTTAAAATCATTCTTTCCTCATCGCATAAGACAATGAAGAAGTTGAAGAAGGTACATTTTAAGTGAAACTTTAAAAACAGGATTACCTCTTGGAAAAATAAATGAATATGGAAAAATGATAAAATTGACTACAGAACATGCATATATAGAACTGCCATTTTTTTATCTTTTAAATGCAACCATGTGGAAGGGGCAATGAAGGAAACACACAACTATATAATGGTTTAGTGAAAAGAAACCCTGTTATATATATATAACTAACTCTGATCCCACTAGTCATATTTAGCCTAAAGTCCAAATATAAATATAATAATACATACATGAAAATACTGTACAGGTCTGTCCTAGGAGAACTGCATTACCTTACATTAAAAAACAAGTCTATTTTAGTGCAAGATTAAATATGACTAGCTGGCTACATAACAATTTTATAAAGTACCAATACAGAACATAAACAGCATGTGAACATTTTAAGAATGAACAGATGACATTCATGTCTCCAATCTGCTTAATGCAAAACCACATCTATATACATGGCAGAGATCTCCTCATTTTGAAAAACTATCAACAAGATAAAAATATGACCTTGCAGATTACAGGATACTTGTCAGTACTCATTCTTCTAAACTCTAAAATGTCAAGAAATTGTATGACTAGTAAAGCCATGTGAAAACAGGGATACACTCATTATGTGTAACATCATTATAAACTTTTTCACTTTCAAGAACTTCTCAATTTTCAGCTAAAATCTCCACCTTAAACTACTCATCATCATCTTCCAAATAATATGGTTGTGAAATGGGTAAACACATTAGCAAGTTGCTAAAATTCAGAGAGAAAATGTCCATCTTTCTAGGTGAACATACAATTAAAAATATATCATAATGCAAGTAGAAATTATCTGTAGAACCTCGGTTTATTAAATGCTTCAAATTTGGAAACAGTGATCTGGAGATGTTCTTTTAATACCCACACTTTCAGGTACTTTGGTCTGCTGAGAAAGGGATGCAATGATGGGGAAAGACAACGTGCAGTACAGTTAAAACTACTTTTCAAAACTACAACACTTGAATGAAATTACTTGAACTACATTCCTGGCAGTAACAGAAGGCTTTTGTCCTAGAGAAGATGTGGACAACATAGCACCTGATGACACTTCTTTGGTGGCTTCTCACCTCAAGCGATGAGCAAAAGCATCCCCCACAAATCATGTACTAAAAGGCAGAGGTGGGCCTAAGCTTTCTGACATTTCTATTACTGAATCTGCTGCTATTGCTACAGGAGCTTGACTTAAACAAATCCTAGTAGTAGCTGTATTCTCAGGCTCTGTTTTTCCTGACAAAAGAAAATGTTCATTTCAGTAAAAGATTAAAATATTTTCTGTTAAGAAAAAAAACCCCTTCTGTCTGCTCATTTGACAAATATTAAAGGTTTCAGAACAACGAAGATTTGAGTGTTTCTACAAAGGAAAATTTGCAAAACTTTCCTGCCAGTGGAGGAAGTAGGCAAATTAAAAACATGGGACATCGTAGCTGCATTTTTCTAAGTGTACGATCAAGTCTATATTAGCATTCAGAAAAACAAATTTCTTTACTATTCCTAGCAACAGCCAGGGTGAAACAAAGCTTTCCTGCTTCACCCTTAAAATACTTCTAGTTTTACTCATAAAAACATGAACATATTAAAAAATATTACATGGATATTATGACAATTGATTTCTAAATAGATTATATTCACAAGATACGAACAGCTCTAATGAAGAATTTGTGCAAATTAGTTTTCAGATTTTTTAAACAGAAACAAAAAAAACAAAGACTACTTATGGTAGGAAAAATAGGTTTTTTTAAAAGGAAAAAGTTGACATAACTTAGAAAATGTTAGAAAGAACCAGACATTTTCATTCAATATTCTAATAATTTATATTCCATTTAGTAACATGAAACTTACTTAAACATGATCTTTTCCCAGCTGTGCTTGCACCTCCTGAACACAAATTTCCTCCTCGATGGACCAGTTCAAGTTCCAAGTTTGTTCTGTAAGAAAAACATAACAGTGTTGAACGGAACAGCATTATTGAACCTTCTACAGACATGAATGAGTCATGACAAACTCCCAGCATACACTTAATAAAAGCATACTGTGAACTAATCTTTAGCATGAGATACTGCCAAAATACATCCCAGAATAAAACAATCCTTATGAAGATGTTGCCATATGTGGTTATAAGTACTGTATTATTGGCATTGAGTTGTGACTGAAGAATTAAAAAAATGTTAATTCTGAGGCATTTTTCTGTATGCACACACAGCTCCTTGATAATAGGGGACTTTATGTGCTAATTGGAAAATACACAGATTGACGAACTGAAATTTAGCCAAATACATCTAAAAGAGTGTTCTCTTTACTGGCAGGGCTTCTGTTTTGCTTTAAACAAACAGACAGTACAATGGATATGGCATCAACTAACCAAGTATGAATACAGTCTAAATTATAATGAAAGCACTGACCTTTATAGATAAGTTAGTTAATAAAAGCCTGGGAGGTTAATTCTGAATCAAATACTGGCACTCACTGCAGCTCATCAGTATGGAACAGGAGTTGTGTCACTAAATCTCTGCACGTCCCAATGATCCTTTCTTTCTTAGTATTATTGTAATCTGATACTTAGGCACAAATTGTTTAGGCCAAATTTGATAACTTTGTTTAATTTTGGAATTGGATGCTTTAGTACCGCATTATCTTTTACCCCCAAGATTTGGAGCAAACAATTTATGTTATATTCTCTCAGAGCTTGTTTTAATAAGTCAACATACATTTCTTCAGTTAAAATAAAGGAATACAATTCTATTACTCTGAAATGTTATTTTGCTAATTCAATCCAAACTGCAAAGCTCACTCTAAACATATTTTGTCCTTTAACAAAAAAATCAAACAATTTTAGGTTCAATATAATAACTGAATACATATTAAAATCTATTCTAGATTTTAGGAACATAGCATATCTAAGCTAAGAACACACCCTTACACACGTATATTTAAGAAGAAACTACAGGATGACTATTTTATTCATAAATTATATTTTAAGAATTTCAGCTCTATCAACTTGAAAGAATAACACTTTTGATATGCAATGTTTGTTAAGATACATTTCTGAATATTACTATTCCTAAGTTTGCAGCTTATGCCATCCATTTCTGAAGGAATGCTTTAATCCTCTCTACTCAGAAAAGGCAATTTAACATTGATAATGTGCCTGCTCAGAGCTCCATCTGGTTGCTGCTGATAAGGGCATCTGTGTGACAGGGGAATTTTCCACTCTTCAGGCGATTTGTAGTGCTCACTGAACTTCTAAAAATCTACCAGCAAGGAAGCAGGGAAAGGGATTTCATATTAGTGGACAAAATAGCAACTGTAGATCAGCATACGCTAGTTCATCATGGGAATATAAAGAAAACCAGTATGTTTATTTCTACAAACCTTCTGATAACTAATTCCTAGAACAAAATTAATAGCAGTCTTCCATTAAAACCAAGATACTTAAGATTTAAATCAAAAAGACTACCTGAATATCTAAGAATAGTTTTCTAGATCTAGAATTTTAAATTTTCCTTTCACCGAGAAACATGTACAACTTTACAAAACAAACCTCAGGGACAATTCTGAAAAAAACCTCTTGTTGATACATAGGAGGCATCATATAGCGCTTCTTGCTACAAGGAATATAAGGAGAGTTATTTTTGGAAACATATACTCCTTTCACACATATCATACCAACTCGCACCTCCCACACTTCTTCATTGCCCCCAGCTTCTCAAAGACAACACCTTTCAGCTCAGCTTTCTTGGAAATGTATTAACCTTTTCCTTCAATACATCTTTTTCAAGACATACCTGAACTTTGGCTTACAAGTGCACAGTAGATAAAGCACCTTCTGTGAAAATGAACACTTACCTATCATAAAATATCCTCAATCAGGTACAGACCTCAATCATATTTGAAGGAGACTAGTGTATCTCCTCCCTAATTTCAGCTCCCTTCTGTCTTGAGGACCTGAGCACCCTCTGCCCTTTACTGAAGAAAAGTAATGAAGAAAAACTGGGGGCATCTGATAGAAGCGTGGAACACAGAGCGGTCTCAGAAAGCCTTCTTTGCTATCTCAGCCTTCTCCACGTGAAGGAAAGAGGAGATAGAAAATCTATGTGAGTGACTGTTTCCCCTATCTAAAAATCTTTGCGTCATTCACTGGAGCAACAAATTTTGTAGAACACTGGCTTTATCTTCCTCACTCACAGAAAAAACCCCCGAGAAGATGGATTTTGCTCAGCTGTCCAGACTCATGGTTAAAAACAGACCTACTTCATCCCTTCTTGTGGGCTTGTATTAGAGAAACATTGGAGTGGGGAGGGTGATTGCATCTCTCAGAATTCACACAAGGACAGAGTAGGGAGAAGTAAAAATGCAATGCCCTTTCCAGAAAATGAACATATTTGGATGGACCCCCTCTTCCTATTATGAGAGAAAAAGCATATTAAGTGCTATCATTTTTCCCACTTCACTTTACAAACACAACATATATATGGAAAAAATACAGATACCGAGGCACAGACTGGAAGGAAAGAACACAGGGCTCTTACGTTAACCTATACATAGCTGACAGAAATGAGTCCCTTCCAATTCAGGATATTCTATGATTCCATCTTGGCATAGCCAAGAAAAGCACGAGACCTACAGCTATGCAATACAGAAACAATCCTCCAAGATACTGCCACAAATGACAGTCACCAATGCTATGAATGTGGAACTATTAAAAATAAAGCTAGGCACGTGTGAATTTGTGAATAACACACTGCACTACTCTCAAAAATGTCAACAAAGCCAAGAAGGGAGGCATATGAAAAGGGTACAAACTTAACAAGGTAAGACTGTAGGCAAGACTGCAGCAGGAGATAGCCAAGGAGCTGCTCTTCCAGCTGTGCATGCAAATCAGGATGCCAAGACCCAGGATGCCAAGACCCAGAATGCTAGCAAAATAGACAGGGGCTAGCCCTCCCACTAAGTGGTAGAGAATTCCTTTGTAATTTCTTTTTCTCTGCTACCAGTGACATCTGTCCGGGTAAGCAAAAATTAAGAAAAGTAAGTTTCTGTTTTCCAGAAGCAGAAAGGATAAGCTACAGCAAACTGGCTACATCTCGTTTCACCAGCAGTATTCCCATTCCAGCATGCAGAAATCCACTTCAAAGCCGGCCTCCAGCTGTAAACTAGCATCTTTTAAGACAGCAGATGATGTCATTTTCTGATTGAAAATGGAACACAACTTATAAGAAGATTAAGAGTGTTTAATTCACTTGCAAATATATAGAGTCAATAAAAATATCACTGCATTCAAATGCTTATTTAAACAGGGGCTGCTTATCATCTTGACCACTTTATCTGTATGTTAAATACCAGGAAAAACTGAATAACAGATGTAGATGGTCTGACCAAAACCAATTAAGAGCTTCAGAACACATGAAACTAGAAACACACAAAGTAACTGGCAGGTAAGGAACAGAGGGGTATCATTACCTCAGAAAGAACTGGATGGAAATAAGAAAGAAACAGGTTGAATAATAGGAATAATTTCCAGAAGGCAAGTTACTTCAGTACATAATTTTGTAAGCAATTTTAATTGTGGATAGTTCACTGTTTGAATACTTAAAATTAAACAACACATACAAAAATCATGCAAAGAAAACTCTTTCAGTTTGGAGGACAACCAGATGACTTACATATTTATTTCCATAAATACAGTCTGCAAGGTTGTATTAAAATGCCTTTTTAAAAGTTGAAGTTTTTTTTAACCTGTAGTTCTTACGCAGTTATCAAGTAGTAGAAGCACATAAATCTGGATTGCGCAGAAATTAACCACTTTGTAGCTGATCTGCCAGCCACCCTCATAAGTGATCTTATGAGTTATGGTAATGATACAGAAAGGTTGGATCCAACACCTGAAATCCTTCAGTCATGGATAAATGGAAAATTGCTGACACCAGTCTAACCTAACAAGAAGAGGTCACAATGAGTACAAGTGGTATATCCTAATCACAGCAGTGAAATTTCTCTCCCCAGCAGTGCAAGCAGCAATGAAATGCTGCTCTGGTTTGAAGTATTTTTAACTCTTGGAATGAAAAAAATCTTGGGCTCCATTTGTAAATATAAAAATAATATATAGAGACATTTAAAAATATGTTTAGCTAACATTTTAAAGATTATATAACATTACACCCAGAAATGTACTGTAACACTATTTTTGCACCTTATATGGCATGATTACATATTTTTATATGCAAAACATTAATTTTGAGTCCTTTGTATTTCTGGAAGGGTATAAAATCAGTTAAAAAATTCTTGAAGAATACAGATATTTCTTTTAATACAATTATACAATAATCTAAGCTGGAAGAGGATTCTGGAGACTAAATGGTCTAATCTTCTGTCAAAAACTGACCCTTAGATTTGATTACTCAGAATCGTGCCAAGCCAAGTCTTGAATATTTCCACTGCTTATATACTAAAGACAGTCAGCAATCAGAGTTTATGAAAGCATAATAGAAAAATGCTACTGCATGGTATCCCTTGTGTGCTTGCAGCTTCTCTGTAGTCAGCACCTACCCTGAAGGCCTCAGTGAGTGTGAGTTTGGAAAACTATTTGCTTAATGAGTATTTCAACTTCTTATGGGAAAACCTTCCACTGTAGTAACTCTGAAAAGATTAACTATTCAGAGTATCTTAACATTAATGGTATAGATGGAAGGGAGGACTGTTAGATTTTCTTGGAGACTGTGACACTGACAGCTCTAAAACTGCAATCAAACTTCACAAAGAAAATGCTGGTGGTTTCAACACTTTTTCTAGAAGTCTGCTCACATGAAGAGATTCCTGGTTGCTGATGTAGAAAAAGATCCTTCTGTGACTCCCACTTAAGTAAATAAAACTAATGTTTTGGGAAAAAAATTAAAAACACCCTCTGATATAAAAACTAGCAATATGGCAGTGATACAGAAACAATCTCATTCTGCTAAAGAAAGGTAGGAGAGAGTTGACAATTTTGGAAAGAAAGGTAGAAAAAGAAATTCAACATAAAAGTTTGATATATGGAAAGCAAAACCTTGAATGAAGAAGAACACTAAATAAGCACACGACACATTGTTCTCCAGGTTTTATGCCACTGCTGCACATACTAAAAATTAGAACTAAGAGGCACATCATTTTGCATATGCCTGCATATGACCAGAAAACATAACCTTGATGTACTAAGAATTCAAAAAGTACTTTCTGGAGAGGATGAAATATTTTCTTTTTTTTTAAAGAACAAAACTACCTCGCGACTAAGAACATTAGTGAGAAATACAAAAGAAAAAAAAAAAAAGAAAAACATACCCACCTGGCTACAGAATACATGAACAGGAAATCGTTGTCAGGTGATCCAGGACTCTTACTATAATCTGTATACTTCTTCTGTGTGGTACTTTTTATATCTTTCATTACAGATTCCATTTCTTTACTGAGATTGGTTTCAGACTATGAACAAAGACATGAGAGAATGTTACTTAATTTTACCTCAACAAATGCAGTAGTTGATTGCGAAGTGTAGCACTCATATCTGTAAAACACATTTGCAGGTTATGAAAAAATATGCATTAAAAGCCAGTATTCTGTCTCACAGAAGTGTTAAAATATTCTGCAAAGTTATTTTGATTTGTTCTGAATATAAAAACATAACTGCTTTGTCCATCTCCTAAGTTCAAGAATCTCACTGTTTGTGTTCTTTTAAAGTATATTTGCACTGTGCAAGTATGCAAAAATAACACAAAGCATCTCCAAGATTGGAAGGCTAACAAAATTTAATTTATTCTGCCTTTCAGATGATCTCATGAAGCTTTGTAACACATAAGCATCTGTAAACTGCTCTTTCTGTAAAACAAATAATCCATACCTTAAGAAGTTCTTAAAAGATATTGTTTAAATACCTTTAATAGCTTCCAGTTACAAGAATATTGTTGGTTTTATATTGTAAAGAAATGACAAATTAATTTTATACTACACGACTCCATTTTATGTAAATCGCTATAGAAAAAAATGAAAATGTACTCCATAAAAAATTATATTAATCACATTTTGTCACAGCTTTTCAATTGTTTATTTTTAGTAAGTAATGCAGTAAGTACTTTAAATATTTAAAATTTCTTTATGTGAAAAAAATGGTATGCTGTCTTCCATATCAGAAAAGAATGAACTTTCCCAGGTTCCCAAGTTTTTAAGAGGTCACAAATGCAATATAATGTAAAAACTGAAAGGTAGAGGCAAATTAACAAGGATCTTTCTGCCTTACACTGATGCTTACTGGGAAAGTTCCCAGCTGTTCTTGAAGATCTTCCACCTCTTGTACAAGGTCTTGCATACACTTGTTACTATGACTTTGCCAAACGCTTCTCTCCACGTTGTTTCCAGGATAACAAGGAAGAACACTGTTAGCAAACTGCCTACAGAGGGGACAGGTAAATTCTCCTTTGTCCACTGAAAAACCCTGGAGGACTTGGTCATTCTAAAAGAAAATAAAGAATATGTAACTGAAATTTGCAGGAGATTATAGTTTTTTTACTTTGATATTTCAAATGTATAGCTAATTCTAAGTCTAAAACCAAAAACCTGTAAAATAAAGGGTTATTATAATAGTTCCTCACTTTACTGACAAAGATCTTTACTAGAGACTGTCTTACAATCTTCCAGCTCAACCTTCCTAATTTTTAAGTATTCTTCATTGTCAACAATATCCCCATAATAAACTAGAAAGACCTCAATGGAGTGTTTTGAACCTTTCATGAGTGTTGTCTCTTTCTAGCTATTTCCATAAAGTCTGAGACTCCAAGTACAGGCTTAAAAAACCCCTAATCAAATAGCCGTTGTAGGGCAGCATGAGAAAAATCCTGATTATTTCTTGTATCACATGAAGGATCAAAAAATGGACGCAGAAGTATGTGTTTGGGAAGTGAGGACATTTCCTCAGTATTCATGTTACTAGCAAGCAACCTTGCTTCTGTGTCAGGAGTTGCCTCCATGGTTTCCCATTCCTGGGAGAACTGCTAAGTAAACAGTGACTGTAATGTAACCTTCATGCAATCAGCCCAGAATGCTGAGGCTTTTACATACCTTACTGGATGTTCACCTCTGATTGTATTATGTAAAAATAAATGTTTTATCCAGATGAAAACAAGTCTATATAAATTATTTTGGTAATAAGAATGCTAGGAAAGATTCCAAATTATTATGCACTCATCTAGATAGTAGTAAAACATGCTAAGATCAGAAGTTCACTTAAATAATTTAGAAATGTTCAACAATGAGGTGGAGTAACAGTTTATTTCAAGTTTAATAGAGAATCCATCAAAAAAGTGACTTCAGACTTTATGTGATGCAAAAAATTACATTTCCAAAATTCTGTAAAGTGAAACTCCACTATGAAAGTCCAGATTTTATTGCTATATTATTTTATATAATTTTTATATTATGTTACATTTATCCTGACAACACAACTACTGCTGAAAGCAAATTTAAATTAATATGGAAAAGAACAATTCATCATGGGATCCAATCAAGACTGCACAGCTTCCTGTTTCTCTAGAGGTTAAGTTTCAGTAAGACCACTGCTGATACTAAAAATAGAAGGTATTGTTCACAGTTTTTCTGAAAATTAAATCAACGAAACTTACAAAGAAAAAAAACTAAAGAAGTAACGCATAAAGTAATCTTGAATAAAAAAGCAGCTTCATATGAACAAGAAGTCATCATTTAGTCTTTATTTTATTACATGGGTTAAGTATTTTTTCTGATATATCAAAATAACTGAAAACAAAGTACTTTTGTTAATAATGTCAACGTGCAATAAGAGATTTAGTATCCATAGTTCTTGAAAACACAATAAAACATCTTGTCCACTCATGTAAACACAAGTATTCTTTCTATGATAAATTCAATTGATTTCAGTAAGAACAGTTCAGCTCCAAATAAACAAATATGACCTTTAGTTTTACTTACCCGTAAAGATTCCATGTAAGATTTGTGACAATCTATGTGTAAAGTGTGACCACATGTTTGTACATAAACACCTCCTTCCCAGCCTATTGACACTGCTTGCAGACAGGAACTCTAAAACACAGCAAAAACAGTAAGAAACAACGCTTATATATAAAGCTATATAAGTATTTACCCAAACTTATTTTAAGATTTAAAAGATACACAGATTTTTTATTTGCATGCTATCTCGTTAAAAGACATGCTGTAGAAATAAAGGAAACTTCATTTTTTGAAGTACTGACTTAAGCTAACTTACACAGTTGCCATTATGCTATGCTATTCTTTCCAACCAAGAGCCAAACAGTTAAGTTAAACTTCTGCAGTTCTTATCACTTAAAATAACCATTTCATTAAGGAACCTCTTGTACTACAGCATAAAGGTGGCTGTAACTCTTAACATCTGTTCCAACAGTAGAAGTTATTCCATGTACAAGGGCAAGATACTGTTCCAATACATTTCATTCAGTTTTGTAGGTAACCAAAATAACAAGACTACTGTTATATAATTTAGCCTCAATCTGTTTTAAAATTCAGTGTAAAAACTTAGGGTTTTTAATGAGTTGTTGGACAACATTATATATAACTCATCGTAGTAGGAAATGAGAACAAATACTTGTTTAGTGAACTGAGTTTTATAAAGGATTGTTTAGAAAACATTGGCCTTAATCAAGGACTGCACTTACAGTCCACATGTCTAAAAGTTACCTCACCGGTAGCTTTTTTCCAGGAAACAATGACCTGAAGAAATAGGCACCTCTGGCACACTTACTGTAAGGAACTCTAGAAAATTCTCTTAAAGAATATCTAACTATAGTCAGTCTCATTATTAGATCGCCATTTCTCAGAAATCTCATGCACAAATTGAAAAGTACATTCTGGTTATACATTGAAGGAACAGAAAAAGATTTATTGCTACCAGAATTGGGAAACAATTTTTAGTCTAGACTCACACTAAAATGGTCTTAATGTATAATGCAAAATCAGTGTACCATGAATAACCTTAATAGTTCCATTTTCTAAGGACCTCCTACCATCTCTTTTTTCTGCATATGAGCAGGAAATCAAAACAAAATTACAAATTTTAGCTTTGAGACATGCTCCTGTTTACCTTGCCTCAACTTGTTATTCATAATGTGCTATGAGCCTCTCAGGCCATAAAGTAAGGAAGTTTTTCTCCTACTGGTGAAGTATCAAGGTCACATGATACATCTGGATAAGCACCACAGGACAAATGTTTCATTCAGGAAAATCATTATTTACTCCATGTATTTAATGAGGCTACTTAGTAGCAGTTGAAAAAAAAGGAGAAAAAAACCAAAACCCAAAGTCTTAGCAGAAAGGTTTTACTCTATTACTCTTGAGTTCAGAAACAAAGGAGATTCCAAAGCAAACCACGAGCTTGGGATGGAACACACCTGTATCAAACTACTGGTTACAGAGTACTACGCGATTCTGAAAACAGCCTTATCAATCCAGCATACAAAATTTTATTTCCTAAACCTTAGTCATACCTCTCCATATTAAAAATAACTGCTTTCAGTGATTTTTCCTTTAATGGGCAAGAACTTCACTCCCTGACAGCAAGCATCAAATTTCAGCTAAGAAAGTGCAAAAAGAAATCAATAGGGAAAGAAGTGATCTGTTTTACCTAATCTGTATACAGCATGTAGCTTTTGAAAGGGATTTTTTAACTGATTTTTTTTCTTCTAGCAGAATAAGCCAACTTAAAATTTCTACATCTGGGTGAAATTATTCACTTGCCTCTTGCAAGCTGTTGTTAAAGGAAGGACGTTTACTGGAAAGGACACAGTTGATAAACAAAAGGACTTCTTATTGCTTAGCTCAGCTGAACAAGACACTCAAGACACTAACAGATGTTTCCATTTTCATGTCAAAAGAAATTTAAGGATTAGTTCTTTCATGCAGAGATTTGTTTTTTAGCACAGTAGTGACCTGGAAACTTGAAAGCAAAAATAGCTAATTCAACTAATGTTTGATTGAGGACTGGAATTTGTGAAAGAAGGATGTATTTGCTCATTGCATTACAGTGTATGTTAGACTAGTCTGTTGGTAGTGCTACTGCACAGAAGCAGAGATATACACTTCAGTAAGATCAAGTTTTTGAGTAACATTTTGCTTGGAACTCCTTCCACTTGTAAGATGCAAATACGTAAAAATAAAGCTCCAGTATTAATTCAGTAACTATTTGAAACAGTAAACCAACATCATCAACGTCAAAAGAAGAAAAGCATGTCCATAGATTCTTTCTGAACAAAAAATATTCTTTCATTCAAAAATAATATTCTGCTTACATCGTAAAGAGTTTTTCTTTCTAGCAAGAGAATTTATAATATTTGTCTTAGAACAAGGTAATTCTCTGAAAACATGGCCCAATTTTTAAAACTGCATCAAAACAACTATGAATTTTAATCTACGTTAATCTACATAAGCAAGCTTGGCTGCTTGGTAAATTTTAGTTATCTGTGGATGACATCACGAAAAAGCTAGTAATTGTGTCAGAGTAAAAACTGCCACACTTTTTCCTCCTTAAAGCCAATATTTAAGCTTCTAAAGGTGATTATTTATTTAGATATGCCTAAAAACTCTTATCTCACCTGGGACTATTCTACAGAAGCTAATTTAAGGTCACAGGTTACATATTCTTCTCCCCCAGAACAGTTACATATCATCTTACATAGCTCTTTAGGCATTAGAAAGGAAAGTCACAGGCAGCACTTCCACAAATGTCTACAACTGAACATGTCCTGTGAAGCAAAAAGAACTGGCTCTCAAACTTAAATATGAAAAGCTCTAATTTGGCTTTGTGAAGGAATACAAAACTCTTCTTGGAACGTATAATTGGGGGAAAGCCAGACACTATTTAAAAATAAGGACCCTATAAAATGAAAACACTTCAGAACAACTGCAACATGGAAAAGTGTTCACTAAATGTAGAAATGAAACTAGAAGAACTCTAATTTGTAATTTCATTTATCTTTTTACACAAATGATTCACAAGTGGTAGTACTGTTCATATGAAAAACTTACATCTTTGAAGTATCTCTGTAAAGTTGAAAGCCTCACGTCATGCAGCGCTGCACAGGTATCCCAGGGATATATTTGCTCCTCCTCGGTAGTTGGCAGTCTCTTTGGTTCAGTGCTATTGCGGCACTGCCCCAACACTGGATGAAGAAAAGCACCAATAAGGAAAGCAATGAATATCAATATGCTAAACAATTAAGAAAACAAAAATCAGGTAATTGTGGTTTGTAGCTACAATGTGCTTTGTTGGTGTTAAAAAGTAAAAAATTATTAGAGAAACTAAATACTGAACATTGTGCTTTTGCACTTGTATGTAAAGTACATATAAATCTACACACATTATATATATTCATACGCACACAAACACATATCTAAGTATAGACAACTGATGGTTGTTTAACTTTCTTTTTCTTTTAATACTGATTTTCCTGCAAGTCTACTATATAATCTGCATTTGCAAAAGCTAACAGGAACTAAGAGGGAATTAAACTGTTTGTTTTTTTCCCAAACATTTAAAAGTTTTCTCAATATCCTTAAGTTACACATGTGCCTCAGAGAAGGCCATCCACAAAAAAACCAGGAGACTCTGTGTTTCCAGGCTTCATGAGACACAACAGTATTTACACACACGTGTTAAAAGCTGCAGAAACACTGCTTTTCCTGCAAGTCACACATTCATACCTGAGGATGCTTGTAATAGTACAACTAGTCCTGCAGGTCTGTCTTCAGTAGAAGGCCCGCTTTGTCCACAAATAACACAATCATATATTGCCTCAGAAACGTGCTGTTCGGACGTAGCTACCTCCATGGCGATATCGACATCTGGAGATTCTATAAAAGAATAAGAAAATTTATATTAAACAGAGGCAAAGAAATCCAATTGCATCTGCACTGAGGTAGTGATGAAAAAACTCCAAAATAATTTCTCTAGTTTATCTACAACTAAAGCATGGACAATTAGTTGAAACTAACCTTGCTGCTTCAAACAAAGACACCTATAAAACAAAGTGCATGTTTTCCCATATTCAGAAGTCCTTCCTGAGGAATTATATGTTTCATTCAAGTTTTGTATTAAATTTGATCTCTCTAAAACGTCTGTAAAAAGAGATCTAACTTCTATTTCATTAGATACTATACTGAAAACTTAAAACATCGGGAGATTAAGGGCAATGGATATGAATCTCTAGTAAAACCAGATTTGCTAAGATTTGCTGACTGAAACAACAATTAGAAGGAAAAAGTTAACCTGAAGACCTTAAAAATAATTTTAAGATGCTTAGACGGACGTAGTGAATGAAATGTGCAACTTAAATGGGAAGTTTTTATTTTAATAGGAAACTGGAACAATTTTGTGTGCATTAAGAAAGTAATCAGCTGTGATGCAGCACATGTTTAGGTGTAAACAAGACATATCAGAGATGTGGTTGTCTCATGGTCCACATTACTACTTTGTAGGTGCACAGACAGAAAGGTTCAAGGCTAAGGACCAGTTTTGAAGTATCAAAGCCATTGCACTTGACACAGCTTTGTTCACATGACAGTTGGCGGTGCTGGTTTTGGGGCAAGCAATTTTAGGTTATGGTACAATCAAAGGTAACGTGGATAGAGCCTTCCCAAATCTTCGTTCGCGAAGCCTAGCCATGACAATCAAAGGTAAGAATTCTTTATTGGCTTGAAAGAAAAGCATCTTAGGACTAAATGATTCTCTCCTTACAGCTCAAGGAACACATAGTCAGTCTCTTGATGTAGAATATGAGGGTTCTTTGTTTCTTTCCTAGAAGATAACTTTTCTGAAGAAAACACTTCCTCCCTACCTTCAACCATGCCCTTTATCTCCCTGATTAAGTAGGCAAAGGTATTGGGTAGAGAACCCAAAAACTGTGAGTACAGCAGAATGGCTTTTAGGAGAGCTGCTGTCTTCTGAAAATCCACAAGTTCAGCACAGGAGGCTGCTGCCATAAGGACAGATGTGTTTGATGCCAGGCAGTGGATTTCTCTGCCATAAAGAACTCCATGCAATACTCTCACTCACAGGGAAGAATCAAAATTACACTGTTTTAGTAACTACTGATTCCCAGACATTTATTGAGCGTCACATGAAAATGAACCCCAATCTTCATTGACATGCAGTTATTAATATTGCACACACATCTATCACCATCTAGTGGCAGTCAGATGTACAGTGAAAGAAAAAGCACAATGCATCAACTGCAAAACATCCAGAAAACCTAGAAGCAAACTGTAGCACAGAAGGGAGGAGATCAACACTAATGCTACATTTTTGTATTTAACATCACCTCATAATTGTGTAATGCACACTCATGTACACCTGTGTATCAAAAGCATGACACAAGAATGACTAGTTTCAGCCTTCTTATTTCACTTTTTCAAAAATTTTTTCAATATGACAGAAAATATGCATCCATTCAACATTTTTCAGACGTGTAGAAAGAGAATACAGTATGTCATGCTGATTTTGAACAATTCCATGGAAGTCCTCAAAATCAGTCAATATTTAATTAACAAAATCACATTAATTCATCATAGGTTGCATATTTTTAACCTAAAGGAAAACCAAATACAGAACTAAGTATTTAAAAGACGTTTCAAATCAGTTCAGTATATGCAATCTATACTTCCTATATGCCTATATGCAATAGGTATGTATAAATCAGGCTAATTTAATTTTAGATCAATGGTCACGATCAAATGCATACTTCCTTCTCACCTACTTAGATTTAATGCTAGGCTACTTTGGCAAACAATTAAACTTCAAGGAAACTAAGCTTCTAGCAGGAAGGAAGACTTCATAATAAAATAATTTCTACCCAAGCTAGTGAAAGAAAACAAAGGGAAAGTGGCAAGAAATTAAAATCTCAACAATTAAGCATACCCAAAAAACTGCAAGCAAATAAAAACCTTCAATTCTTTTTGAACTGACTATGATAAACCTGAATTACTCACTTAAACCGGTTGTTAGCTTCTCTGGAAGACAAGACTTCGGTTTGTCTGAAAGGGTACATTTTGGCCGTGTAATTCCTGGTTTGAAAACGTATCAGTGGCAATCCAGAAAAAAGAAAGCAAGCTATATATATAGCAATAATCTCAAACTTGTCTTCCTTGCCTTCTGGAGTTTTGCCTCTGTGGAGCTCCAGTGGAAGCAAATCGACACTGCCCCACCAGCTCTGTGATCTACAAAGACTGTTAAGGACCAGGACAAACATGTTTCAACTCAAAAAACTGTTGAAAATGAGAGAGATTTTTTCCTACAAACCTACTTCTAAAATATTTCATTAATGCATTGATACTTGTGAATATAAAGCCATTGCCATTTCTCCATTATACTTTGCTTTGAGTTATATATTTCCTATTTCATGTGGGGAAAAGTTAAACTATACTGCATTTTACTGCAGTAGTAGTCATATGGAAGCTTAGAATCCCCACAAACTTGTAGCTCCACACCTTTTTTTTTCTTTTTTTTCCCTCCATTTCATATAAACAAAAGCACAGAAACGCTTTGTGTTTTCCACAGAAATCTGTGGAGCCTTTATTTAAAGTGACTGGAGCTGTAATGCTATTTTATTGATTTGATATAGAAAATACACATTCTTGACAATTTTTAAAGCATTTGCTAACATCTAGTTCCCAATATTCAATTATAAAAAGACAAATTAATAAAAATTATTATTTTATTAAATGTCCCATTATACTAATGAAAAGATTTTATAGTCAAAGACTGATTCCAATATAACATAAAGTCTCACAATTCTGGCTAAAACCCACACCTGAATCACCACCCTGATCAATTCACCAAGTTTCTCTCATGAGATTTGTCTGATGTTATAACACATCTCACCCCTTTACAGTGGGTTCTGGAACTTTTCTTTGTCCTTGTGAATTATTCCAGATATCTGGATAAATATGAACCTCAAAACAGCAAAGGAGGATAAAAACATTTAAACTGTGACAGAAATCCAGGGCAGAGCCAAACACTACCGTTCTCAAGAGTTTTTTATTTAGCTCTTAGTTAAGTTTTGTACCACTGGAAGTGATAGGCACAGAGTTACAAAAACCTATCATTTCCTACCTCCTAACAAATACTGATCAGTCTGCTAAAATCTAGCACACTGTTTTATTGCAGAATACACTGCTGCCTGAATTTCTTTTCATTTCTACTCTCCAGAGCTAAGGATGCATTCTGTTACTTCCCCCATCCAGCAAAACCCCAGAACCCAAAGGGCTTTATAAACACAGTAACTATAGTTCACAATTTCTGTTGCCTGTAGTCAACATTTGTCCAGCTGTATACACTGTGTCAAAGCAGCCCCTTGGCATCAGAGCAACCATTAGTATGCTAATATTCTTTGCCCTGACCCAGCATATGTAGTCTCAAGAGATCAGTACCTAATTTATTTTTCTATCTGGGTTCAGAAGATTGAGTGTTAGGAAATGTATGTCACCTTGCATTAAAACTCTGCACCTCTTTTACACTCTAGCTACAGAACGTTCGCTTGAAGGACAAAATGACGTCCTGCTAAGAAAGACACAAAAGACCATCTGCGTAATTATCGAGAGGCATTAGAAATATTTAAAAGTCACACTGGGCACTACAGAGACAACAAAACTATGGAAGAAATGAGCGGTATCTTAATAATATTTCTAATTAATGAATTAACTAATTTAAAATATTTTCACTAAGATGCATTTGGTTAAGTAGTTCAGTAGCTTGTCTGGAAAGGATCATAATATTTCATATTTATAAAATTCATATCACTGTAATTTGTTAAAAGGCTACTGTTAACCTGAACAGAGTGATTTATTTTTGTCCTTATCAAGTCCTGCCTGAAGGTAGTGAAGTTTCAAAACTCTCCTGCATAGATTTCCACGTCACAAGACAAACCACAGTCTCACACTTGGGAAAGTGTCCCCAACGATGTCAAAGCTGCTATAACCAGAAGACTAGAAGGCCTATGGAGTTGAAGCTGTTACAACACATTTTTGACTCTCTAGACATCCTCCTCAGATATTTCAGGAGCTCTATCTGCTGTTCTTCGAATGATGTTTCTTGGGTTATTTTTCTACTTTTTTCGTTTTTCCTGCAGTCAAATAGCTAAAGACAGCACACTGGATTCTGTTCTATCCTAGTTCATTAACATAACTGTTTCTAAATTTCACCTAATTACTTCCAGGCAAGCTTGAATAGCAATGCAGTTCTGCAGATGTCACAGAATATAAATAGAAAGTAACAGGGGGCACAAATGGAAAGTGATACATAATTGGAATTTTTTCTACAGTCATTATGTGAAAGAAAAGGCCAACCTTTATTTTCAGAATCTCAGATGAATTTGTGCATTTCAGTTCAAATAAATAAATTCTGCTGGTAAAATGAGACACATTTAATACTGAATAATTAACACAGAACTGAGTAACTTCCTTTTAAGCCATGTTTCATTGCAGCATCCTAACCACCACAGAGGAACACCTCAGAGATTAACAGTGGCTCTGTGCAGTTTAACCACCACCTTGGCAACTATTAAGTATATGGGGGTTTAATAAAATAATCTTTAAGCTTTGGCTATTCTCCGTTATTCCTCCTATCACCTTCTCGACACATTTATATTCAGAGTATTTTCAGTCTTCTATACTGTCAATAGAAAGGTAGTAGGAAATTTTCAAGTGTTGTATCCAAAAACAATTACATCAGTTCTCGCATTTTGCGACTGAATCACATCTGCTTTTCATAGATGAAATTTCAGAAGATGATAATAATGATTTGCTCAAATGACACCAACTGTATCAGTGATAAAGTGAGGGAGCTGAAGCCTCACCATCCCTGCATTTGGCAGTGTTATTACAGTTACAACAAATGATCAAAATGAAGAAATAAGCCTACTGCCAAACTTCAATCTATGATAAAAGTAACAAGTAACAGAGTTTGAATATGTGAGGGGGAATCTGTATTAACCAACTGATTTTAGCATGAAAAGATTTTTTTGTTTGTTTTAAAACAGCTATTTCAGCACAGCTATGCTACAATTGAGGGTAAATCTATGAATTACTTACAGTAGTTTTAAACTGAATCACTCCTGAAAGACTAGTTTCAGAATTCTTATCATGCCTTGTGTTTTAAACTTAGCGTAACAACAGTTTCTGCAACTTTTTCAATAATTTGCTGTAACACAGAGACTCCATTTACAGCCAAACAAATCACTTTGGTTAAACAAACTGAAGAAAATATTCCTGGTAAAAATTAATCTGGATTTTTAAATAAACCTCATGCACTATAACAGAATATGTACTTCCTTTCTGCAAGCTATTTTAATGCCAGTCTGAACATAAAAGCTAGTTAATACTGGACTATAGTATTACTGCAATGTATTTTCATAACAAACTCAGAAAATGGAATGACAACCTAGAGGACACTGAGAACAGTTAGTGATAAAGCGAGTAATTATTCAGTTAACAAAATGCCTGGAATTCTATTAACTTGTGGCCAAGGAATGTCTGTATGCAGAATAACTTTACAAAAATGTATTCCAGTAAGTTGACCCTACCTAGTGCTGTGCATGACCTCGTATAATTGACAATAAACACTACATTTTAAGTTAAGATATCTGAAGTTATTAATTCTTTAAATACTAGGAAGCAAACAATTTAAGCGTTGCATGCCCAAGAACATTTTAATGCACAACCATAAACACAAAGGCCCAGGTCTGCCTGGTAGAGAAATTAAGGGTTCTTTTTAATACTAAGTAAAAGCTAGATATACCCCGTCTTTCACACAAATAAATGCTGCTTAATTTACTGATTTAACCAGCATGACTGATCCACAGATCAAAGCAGTTCTCTTAAACATAGCTTATAAAACTCGTGCATGGAAGTATTTATGCATATTTATGTATATATGCAAATAGGGCTATTGACAGGTGTATATATAAAGGTACATCTGATTTAATATATAAAACACATCAATTTCAAAGTTGCAATACGAAGAATTCAAAATATAGGTGACTGCAGAATCAAAGTTTCAAAGTTACTTTCAATTAGCCATGACTATATAAAGACTTAATTTTTAATAAGTAGAATTACAAAGCTCTTCTTCCCTTCCTCCTTACTTCAACAATTAAAAAGAAATAACTACCCATTTAATGAAGATGACTTACAACACAAAGTCCACAGAAAAAAATTAGTGTATTGCACACCCTCCAAACATAACACCATATATATAGTGATTTATTTCATAGAATCATAGAACAGTTCAGATTGGAAGCAACTTTAAAGATCATCTAGTTCCAATTCCCCCACCATAGGCAGGGATGCCTTCCACCAGACCAGTTTGCTCAGAGCCCCATCCATGACCGCTGTCATCCAAGACCTTAATAAGTATAAACAAATACATCATCTCAGCAACTTATGAACTGAAGGGAAGTTAGAAATTTCAAAAGCCAGACTTTCCCAGCAAATACAGTTGGCAAAATATTTGTAACCATTGCTTAAACTCAAATCAAAACTTCATAGCAGATGATACTTGATTAAGGGGAGGGGGGAGTTTCCTGCTTTTTCTTATCTTTCAGAAGTGCTAATTTTCAATTAAGTAACCCAGATGACAAAAATATCTTCCATTCCTCAGTTAAACACAGACTAATCAGCATTATGCTCTTCTACACAGTAGATTCTCAAGAAAAACAAGAGCTGATTCTGCTCTAAAGCCTGTACATGAAGTAAAATACGTTATCACTTATAGCAACTGAAGTGATTTAAAAATTATGCATTCCTTAAATCTATAAATATATTGAGGCTCTAAAAAGAATCTTAAATTTTCTTATGAAAGAAAATACAATCTTTAAGAGACAAACTAATTTTGGGATGTTTTATATTAAAGGTAAATTAAAGGTAAATACTTTAAAACATCACACATTTCATCTACTGTGTATTAAGAAAAATGGGAATAAATTTATGTCCCACAGATTTAATCTATTCTTTAGCATATGTATTTGATAATATCTGTCCTATAAAACATAAGTTTAAGCCTCTTAAGAAGTATTTAGTATACAGGCAGATACAGAAGTGGAATCTGAAGGGAGGGTTTTCTGTTTGGTTGGAGTGGTTGATTGTTGGGGTTTTTTTGTGTGTGTGTCTTTGTTTGTTTTTTAAACTGTTGGAGTAAAAATCTTAATACTTAACATAGGGCAAAAGGAAAAAAAAGCAAACAGTCAACCACACAAAAACTTACCAACATCCATGGCAGTTTCCATGAAGCTTTTCTGCCTTGACGCAAATTCAGCTAACAGTTTCTGCTGCCTTTCTCTAGCCTTCTGTCGTCTGAGTGAAAGAAGGGGGGAAGAGTTAAAAAAAAATATATTATAGAGTGAAAAAAAAGGCTGACTACAGTTACCATCTTAAATAATCACTCAAAATTCAGAATTTCTGTAAATAAAGGAATAATTTCCAAGCCTAAAAAAAGAATTTCTTGCTTTAAAAGTGGAGTTTAAGAAATCAGTGTTATTTTGAGTGTGAAAGATAGGAATAAAATCATGTCCTAAAACACCCTTCAGAAAACCAAAGGAACGTCTAACAGACTAGGACACAACATTGTGAGAAAAAGAACCCAAGACCTTATTTTTGAAACTTTTTTTTCTGTTACACATGGGAAGAATAACAGAGTGGAATAACTGTTGTACAAAAACAAGTACTCCTGTGTGCAACCAATGTTTACAAGCTAATAAAAATAATAGCCTATCTCACTCCCTTCTTTATCAAGCTTGATGGCAAGAGAAACAACTACAGATAATTTCTTTTCCAGCTAAGGCTCCTCACAGTGGTTCTTTTTCCCCCACCTCCACCCAAGATACTGGTCACCAACAGCTTTTATACCTGGACTTAAAGAAGCTTGAGATTGCATCCAGATTAAAACCCCTTATCTCTGTGGAACCAAGTTGACCTCACTAACTTTTTCCTCATTGTTTATCACAGCTCTGAATTCACAAATGGAAGACATTAGAGACTTATGCTTATCTACCCTTCTATTTAAACTGTATTAGTGACCTGTACAAAGTTATATGACCAGCTATATAAGTCCCCAGATAAATATATACTGCAGTGGATAGAGGAATATTGATGGATGTAAAAAAAGAAAATAGACACTCATTCTCCTTAATTTGGCAAGAGTTTACATGCAAAATGGAAGAATGGAAGTGGGAAAACCAAACAAAACTCCTATACCACAGCTGCTCACCACATGGAACATGCAAACACCTACAGGCCCCATGTTTGGTGTGTTTATGCAGCACTCCCCAGTGCAGCTATGGAAGCTCTATCACAGCCACATGTTCTGCACACCAGCATTTCCAATGCATTTCTTCCCCTGCTCAGAGATAATTCAGATAACTAACATGGGATTTAAAAACAGCACTTGGCATCTGATATGCTGATGGGTGAGTCATCTTCAGTCTCCAGCACTGTCTGATTATCAGTGTCCTGGCACAGGAACAGGCGCACACAGGTCCACAGCAGCCTCACATACTGTACTCTCTTATCCTGAGGTGGCCTGTTTGTAAGTCAAAGCTTCTAACTTGTTTTCTTAATGCCCCAAATACCTCTGCCCATCTATCTGTTACATTGTACAGTCACCATTTCTCAAAATAACTTCTATTTACAACAACACTAAGATTCATTATACTGAGGATCAGAGCAGGGCATTCATTAGATCTGGTTTTATTTATTTCTCCCTGGAAATTTCTCAATATACACCTTGACTAAAAGCAGAGTGACTGTAAATAGATGCCTTTAATAAGAAGACATAAACAAACTCTGACAGATTCAGTACAGCTCAGTAATTTTCCATGATGGCCCATGGGAGTATGACACTGCAATTGAAAAAATACTGCAAGCAGCTCAAGCTTGCTTCTAGTTCTGTATTTCAGTTTCTATGGCAACAATTCATTGCCTGAGTGATACCAAGTTCATCATTATATGTTGAAGTAACCAAAAAGGGTGATCATTTAACATGCACCATCTGCTCGGTCTTCACTGACACAAAACTGGATTTGGGGGGAAAATTAAAACAAAACAATCAAAAAAGTAAAAACTGCAGCCTGACTGCATGAACACCATCAGCCCATGAGTTTAGTCATTTTAGTTACCATGCTGTCCACTAATACCATTAAAAATTTGGGAAGAAGATAATAATCACTCCGAACAAAGAACGGAAAACATTTATTTTCATCATTACATTAGCCCCTGACCTTAACTGAAAACTTGAAGTGCCTCCAACAGATCCCTGAAAATATCACATCCGTTATAGAGGGAAAGGAAACACCTCACCTGTTTTCTATATGAAAAGTTACTTGTTTCATCGATTCTTGTGCTTCTGTACATAAATCTAGCACTACTGAGTACCACAATACTGATTAGGTGTCCAAGATATAGCTGTGTTTTATCTAAAGCAGCCATTCATTGTGTCTTTCTGTGATAGACAATTTTACATGCTAAACCTTGACTGTTTCTCTCATTTACTGAACTATTACAAGGGATGTTGAAACTATTAACTAAACACTGGCAAGAAAACAATAATTTTACTTTGTAAAGTATGTAACACATGAATATATTAAATCTATTTTTCATTTTTTTGTTATGTGTAATTTTCAAGTACAGTGTAGGTCCTGAACATATCTGCAAGAATTTAATGAAAATATTATTTTCAAATAAATAAAAATAGCAGGATAAAAAAAAGGTAATCCAGAAAACAACTGAGTCAGATGGCTGCATGTTTCTACCCAAACTTCTAGATCCATACTCATATAGTTTGGTTACATAAACCATTCAAAATACCCACGAACAAGCACTCAATCATCTCCTTGTCCATCGTAGCCTGTGCTCTGTCTCTACTTTCGTTAATGTGGTAAGTACTCTGACCTGAACCTTCTATGCCCCAACCTTCTAAAACTATTCCCTGTCCTCTTGCTTCAAACACCACATTCCAGTCTTTCGCACTGACCAGCAGTCAGTCTCTTCCCACTGCCTTACTCCAGACAATTCTTCTTTCCAGCTGACTCTATCACATCCCCCAAATGCCAATCTCTGTCTTACTCATGCCCTCCAGACATTTCCATTCTTGTTCTACATTCTTCTCCTATCGACTTGACTCAAGATCCCATTCTTCCCGAGATTTTCCTTAAATTTTTTTTCACTTGCTACTTTCCTCTGGGTTGTCAGGACAAAAATATTCAGTTCTTTAACATCCTCAGTTGCCAGTTTGAGTCTTCTCACATCAGCTATTCACTTGACCTGGCATCTGCCCTTTGCTCACTAGTACATCGATCAGAAGGCATAAGGTTTCTCCTTCCAGTCCCAGTTTCAACACTGCTCCTACCAGTCCTAGTTTTCACCTCTACTTCTAAGATCTAGTTGCTGTCCTCTAGGCATTTGAACTAGTGATTCCTCTTCCCTAGGACTCTCATGGCAATACAAGCTTTGCTGCCAACAGGAGAGAAGCAGGCTCTCTGCATTCAGTTTCAATACTGCCAGCGCTCTGGGGGCTCTCAAGACTCATTATGCCCCAATCTCAACCTCAAAACTGTCCCAGCTTTTTCCCCAAAACATTTCAGCCCAAGACAGACAACTGGCTTGCAGGTTTTCAGGACACATAATAAGATAATATAATTTAATTAAAAAAAAACAAACCTACAAAAAAAATTAAAAACATACTTTTAAAATTGAATGGCTCGGACAAGTAAAAAAGGTAGAATTACCAAACCCAAATACATTAAACAAAGGTCAAAAACAATCATGGTGTGATGTGTGCATGTGAATGAACAGACAACACAAATAAAAATTCTAACTCATCTTAAGGTTAAGCCACAAAACCTAACACAATCTTAATTCTACACCTTTGTATACACGAGCGGTACATACAGCAACATAAAGGGTCAGCATGTGTATCACACCAAATTATTATGAAAGTTTTCTATTTTAAAGACCTAAAATACAAGGTGCAGATCCCACCCCAGTATCCACGTAAATCATGTATATTTAAAATGGATAAAGAAAACTGTAGAATTAAGTGATTCCTTTAATATGTAATTCATGCAAAAACCTAGAGACAGATCAATCAATAGATGCACAACACACAATTTCCTACTGCCTCTTTACTTTGTTATTAATGTTACCTTTCTTCTTTATCCAAAGTTTTCTTCTCCGCAGAACTAATCTTTTTTGGTGGGACAGGAGGTGTCACCTTCCTGCATATCTCTTCGATTATACGTTTATTCAATCTGCTCTGTACAGCAGCTTTCAATAAAATTCTTTCTACTGCCGTCATTCCATCACCGTGAGAGTATCTTGGAATTTCTGGGTGGATTAAAACATCCACATCATCCAACCACGGAGGATAGTAAGAGTTTTGTTTTCCTGAGAGTTTGTGATGCAATTTAATCAGCAAGGACAGTATGCTTTCCTTGACTTCTAGAATGGCTGTGGTGAGCTGTGGAGTTGCACCAGGAGCTGACCATTTCATGGATGTTTTGGGCCGAACCACCTGATTTGCCTCACTGGTGTTCCGATTGATGATCTCCTGAAATTTCTTCCTACGTTCTGCGACCAAACTGAACACTTGAGCTGTCCCCGAATTCTTGGGAAAAAAATCATAACGATTAATTTGCAAAAATACAATAAACAACATACATTCACAAAACCTTACAAAATATTTTAAGCTAGGAGGAAAAGCACAAAACTTAAAAAGACTCCTCTCCCCTCCCAAAATGTACTGAAAATTAGGACAGCAAAATACTAAGCCTGCATATCGTATTTTGATACAAGTCTGTTATATGCAGCTGCATAAAAAGCCAAGTACAAAATGGAAATATCCATACCAAAACAACTAACAACTGGTTTTGTCTGTTCTCCAAGTAATATTTCCTTATTTTTTTTAGAATAGTAATTTCAGTATCTTTACGTCACTTAAACGTCTTTATTGAAGTCTACAGAGCACTGTTGCACAACATAACTCTTAATGCCACACAGGTACACACATCCCCATGGCATTGTCCATTTTCTGTGGATTTATGAGCTGAGATCCAGAAGCCACATACCCATATTGGCAAGCAGAACTTGATATGATGATTGCAGCTACATTAATGACAGAGCCCATT